GTTGGCCTAAGTGACTTAAGAACTTCAGTCCCGCAATCACATGACAAAAACTAGCTGCTTTTTGTGAAGAACTTAGATTTTTAATCCTTGAACAAGGTGAGAGAGTGAGTTCAGGAAGCCAGGGATTCATTTCCCCAACACTAATGATTTTAACTATTTGCAAACAGTAGTAGTGCCAATGTTATCTACATTCATGTATGTACATACAGACATACCAAGCTACTCCTGATACTTAAGTTCAATGTGTGGAGCAAGTTTGTAGTAGTGTACTCAGCTGTACCATTTCAGGTGAAATTAGCATTTAATTTTTGTTACAGGTGGCGATTTGCAGAAATAACTTATACGATGACACTTGACTTTAGCAAAGTACTTGGATATTTATTTAACATTTCTGAAAGCTAAGGTTGGATGTATTGTGAACTTGGATTATGATTAACTTATGATTATTGTTTCAGATGGAAAAGGAACAGCAGGAGGGCACAGAAAATGTCCCTACCCCTTCTCCTTCACTGCCTCCCAAGATTACTCTGAAGAGAGACCAACCACTAGCTTATACAGCAACAGAGGATACGTTTAAAGATACCGCCAATCTTGTTAAAGAAGACTCTGTGGTATAACTAGGTAACTGATTTAGGGAGAATTAGACACATCCATTTGCACATATATTTTTTATAAACAGAAGAATAAGGTTCACATTCAAATGCTTTATAAAAATATATACGTCTCTTAGCCAATGGCTGGAGATGTATGTTGAAACTATGCCTTGTTTTTTGACAAATGCCAATTGCTATTTTTATGAACAATTATCATGATGTACTATATGTATATCTTTGCACTGAAGCTGTCTGAAAGTAATGTTATAAATATATTGTACATTTGTAAATTTCTGAAAGATTATCTTGTTCGGTGTTATTGCTAGTAGAAATCTGTATGGAATTGGTCGTATCTTTAGGGATAAATTCATTATATAAATGCTTAAACTAAAAAAGAACCAAACAAGGCAAATATAGGAACATTGCTGATTTATAGGATCTTAGACTATATAACAGCACCTTTAAAAACTTCTACTGGTGCTTTTAGGCATCTTTACTATCTATTTTACATACTACTGTATGTAAAAATGGGTGTCTCTGTTTACCTTGTGTTAAACAAAAGATGGAAGAGTCAATGCAGCATCATTATGCTGTGCAAAATGTTGCTCTTACAATATTTTAACTGCCTAATATAAAATAATAGCCTCTCAATCCGTAAGACACACACTTTTCCTCTAGGTTAACACCAGCCCATTAATAGTGTTCTTAAAAAGATGTGATATATTTAGATTTTAGTGCCATGAGTACTTAATTTAATGAGATTTTCTCCTGTTCATCACTGGAATATCCATGTTGGCTGGAGTCTCTGGAAGTAATTTGTACTATTAAATGAAGTAGCTAGGTTTCTATAACAGCTTCTTTCCAAACAGCAAAATACAAGATATTGGTTCATTTAAGAAATTATTCAGGTTTTTTAATGTGAAAATTTAATTTTATTGACTATTTATTTCCTGAGGTGGACATTAATAGAAAGGGAAACAATTTCTACTAATGCAGTCTGTGTAGTTATCTGGTTATTTCTATAATCTTCTATCAGAATATACTGTAGATCTTACTAGCTTTTCTGGTTAGCAAGGGTAGTTTCCACAACATGAACCATTTGAGGAAACTCTGAGTACCACTGCAGGAAAATGTTATTCAGCATTCCTGGTTAGCTGCTCATATAATTTAAAGAATCCTAAAGTTTTAATCATTGAGACTTCTGCTTTTTGATTGTTTTATATCTGAGTTCTCAAAATATATGCTATTTCTGATTAGAATTCTTATAATTACTTTGTAATGTACTTTGATTAGAAAAAACAACTGGAAAATGATGCTGCTGGATAAATCTAATAAATGTATTATTTTATCACATCCTTATTCCATAATTTGTGTCAGTACTTTTTTCAGTTGTGGAGACTTCAGTGCACTCTAAGATGGAAAGAACAGTGCTTTAGATAAAGTCAAAGAGTAGTGCTTACTGCTTCACACAACTGTCTAAAGTTCTTGATATAACATCACTGACATCATATCACTCTAAGTGTGAAAACTGCCTCATTACACACATCAAATAAACTGGCCCCTGAAAGAGAAAACAATTATTACTGATTGTAAGAGACTGACTCTCAAATAGTATAGACATGAGAGATTAAAACCTTAGCTCGATTAACTTTCGTATCTGAGTGCTTTAATGTAGAAAACTCCTTAGAGTCTGGGGCACAGCATACACATCTGTAAGGCTATCAGAGAGGACTTCTTTGAAAGGCAGGTTGCTGTTCTTGAGGAAAGAGTTCACAATGTTTTTTAAAGAGTGAAAGCAAGGCTAACGCTTCCATGAGACTTGCCTCCAGTTGTATACCACAGGAAAAAGAAGCAACAGTTTTGTGAATAGTCTTTGTCAACAGAAAGATTTGGAACCAATTTCTGCCAATGTCAGCCATGTATCAGAGATTTCTTCCCCTCCGCCATGGGAATTCTAACTTTTCAGATGTGGAAGAATCATAGAATGGTTTGGGTTGGAAGGGACCTTAAAGATCATTGAGTTCCAACCACCTCCCTGCCATGGGCAGGGACACCTCCCACTAGACCAGGTTCCTCAAAGCCTCATCCAGCCTGGCCTTGAACACCTCTAGGGATGGAGCATCCACAACTTCCCTGGGCAATCTGTTCCAGTGTCTCACCACCCTCATAGTAAAAAATTTCTTCCTAATACCTAATTAAAATCTCCCCTCTTTCAGTTTAAAACTGTTACCCCTTGTCCTATTGCTACTCTCCCTGTTAAAAGAGTCCTCCTCCATCTTTCCTGTAGGCCCATTTTAGGTACTGGAATGCTGCTATAAGGTCTCCCTGGGCTGGAGCCTTCTGTTCTCCAAAGGGAGAAGAAAAACATCCCTGGGATTCTGTATAGATAGGTAGTATGTAGATTTGATTGTTCAGCATACCTGGTGGTGATTCCTAAGCTTCAACTGGAACTCTTCCTCTCAGTCACGTACCACAATGTACCCTTCTGATTATGTAAAATTTAATTTTTGATACTTTTTTTCGGCAGAAACTTTAGATTCTACCCCTAACTTTGGTTTTCACTTGTGTTCTTTTTCTCCTATGAGGACAGTCCCTGCTTGAATTCTTGAATTCTGGACTCATTCTATTTCAAAGAAGGCTGATTTTTAGAGATTTGAGCACCTCTCTGTAATCTGCCTCTATAGGGCTGATATATTATACAATTAAGTTTTTTTATGTACGTTCTCTTTACAGCAGTCAGGCCAGATAGAGAGAACTATCTCTCTGCAGGTATTTATCATGAAATGAAGTAAAATAAATTTATTCTTGAAGGCGTTTGCCAGAGAATAGAAGCTCAATGAAATACTTCGAGCTTACTAAACCCTTTTACGTTCTGTCCCTTTCTTGCATATGTACAAACACACACACACGCCCCCTCTCACACACACAGAGTGATGAAACTCCTTTTCTTACATTTGGAGTTCTGACCTGCACATGGTATTTTTGTAAGCTTAATTGAATTGCCCATTAATGATTAATCACCAGCACAGCTCTTTAGCAAATAAAACCTTTACCCCTTCAATTTTAATATCGCTAGGAACACCAGTTTGTGAGCCTCTGGCCAGCAGCTTAACAGAAAGAATTAGCATAGAAGAGACACAATAACCTCAACTAACATTTTGCCGTTCTGAACACACTCTTTCTGTTGTGTGGTGTTGTGTGTTCAAGTTGAAATAATTTACAATAATTTGCCATAGCATACACTAACAATCTGTTTCATCTAACGAGTGAAATAATAATCCTTTTAACTTGCAAAGCATACTGAGGATGAAAGAAATGTGAATGCATATTATTTTTAATAATTTCCTCATAAACCATACTAATATTAGGAAGACAGTTAAAATCTAAGTTTGGATACTCTGTTTGCATAGTAACAGAGGACAATGTAGTTTTGATTTTTCCTGTAATTGCATATCTGTAAAATATCTTGTGTTTTATTGTTATACAGTTGAATAGTCAGGTGATTAGATGTGGTCAATTACTGGAATTGTAATTTTTGGAATATGTTGCAACATCTGGGCTTTGTTATTATTTGATTTCATGTCTTGTGTTCAGAAGCTTGTGAAGTTTGGCAACTCCTCAATATGACCATAAGAGACCCCTCATGAAAAAGATGACTAAATTTGACTAAATACATTCTGTAAGGTACATGTATAAGATCCAGAATCATAGAATTGTCTAGGTTGGAAGGGACCTTTAAGATCACCGGGTTCAACCATCAACCTAACACTGCCAAAGCCACCACCAAACCATGTCCCGAAGCACCATGTCTACTTGTTTTCTAAATACTTCCAGGGGTGGTGATTCCACCACTTCCCTGGGCAGCCTGTTCCAGTGCTTGACAACCCTTTCAGTGGCGAAATTTTTCCTAGTGTTCAATCTAAACCTCCCCGGGTACAACTTAAGGCCATTTCCTCTTGTCCTATCGCTTGTTACTTGGGAGAAGGGACTGGCGCCCACCTTGCTACAACCTTCTTTCAGGTAGTTGTAGGGAGCTATAATTGTTTTATTTCAAGTTCAGTAACAGCTTATATGTTGATGAAGTCTACTTGAAAAACTTATTCTTTTGTTGATTTTATTTTTCTTATTTAATTTTTTTAATTGGGTGAGTAGTATTAACCACCTTTGTATCCGCATATTTTATGAATACATATCCTATAGAGGTATCATTTCTGAGCATAAAAAATTATCTTCAAAAACATGCTGGATTTACAAGCCTAACTGCAAACTCAGAAATTCCAGGTAAGGAGGGGTTGGGGGTTGCAGAGGTGTCTTCTGAAAGGAATTTATTCAGTCTAGTAACTAGTAAAGAAGATGACATGTGGTTTTGACAGGATTAGTATTTATTTTTTCAGAGCTAGTTTAATACTAAATGTTAATTAGAGCTCCAGGAACTGATCCCCCACTAGCTGCTGGAGCTGGAAACATCATACACAGCAGCATGTCAGATAAACAGCTTGGGGCATAGGAGAGAAACAGCCAAAAGAACTTTGCATCCCACCCAGCTCTGTATCGTGTCCTGGGGTACATTGCTATCAGGGCATGTTCCATGCATTTTATGACCTTAGAAATATCAGAGTCACACAGTCTTTTCACTGATGATCTTTGAGCTTTTATATCTGCAAAAAGAGAAAAGAAACCTGAAAGCATTTATATGCAACAGTCTCTGTGGGAGCTGTGGGAGCACATAGTCCAGAACAGTCAGCAATGGGTTTGTAATGAATGTTAAAGAAGTCCAGCAAACATTCACAGAATCATAGACTGGTTGAGATTGGAACTGTCCTGTGGTCCAACCTCCCCTGCTCAATTTGGGTCACCTAGACCAGGTTGCCCAGGACCTTGTCCAGACAGTTTTTTGATATATCCAAGGATAGAGACTCCACAGCCTCCCTGGGCAACCTGTGCCTGTCCTCAGTTGCTGTTGCTGTAAAAATGTGGTTTTTTACACGTTCAGCAGGCACATCCGTGTTTCAGCGTGTACCCATTGCCTCGGGTCCTGTCCCAGGGCACCACTGAAGAGAGCTTGGCTCTGTTGTCTTTACAGACTCACTTCAGGTATTTATATACATTGATAATACACCCTCACCCCCACCCTCTAGCTTTCATACAGTTCTTTTTCTACTTACATTCAACAAAGTATTTTTCTCCATAAGAGTCCCTGATCTCAGGAGTCAGTCTGTTCCAAAGTCTTAAGAGGTCTCTCTCGAGGACATCTGAATTAACGACTCCTGCCTTAAGGAAACCATGCTCAACAATGCTTACTTTAACTCCAAAATGCTGCATCTCCATCCTAGAAGAAAAAAAACCAATAACCATCCCTGACCACCCAATAATGGCATAACCATTAAACAAGTAAGTTGAAAGTCTGTCACAAAAAATAATATTTGAGACTTTGATTCTTATCTTAAAATGTCAGAATAATTTTGAGATGTTGAAGTTAGCTTCATAGCAGTGTACCTCTCCTGTAAACGAGTAGCAGGAAATTAACTCTCAGGAAAAAAAAACAGTGTCATGTGGATTCACAGCTTTCCGTGAGGTTTATGTTGGACTGACACAAAGGATGCAGCAGCCAGCTACTTCTTAGCCACATAATGTCAAACTAAAACTTTTGACTATTTCCAATACTGTTGCATCATTTCAGTTTCCGGCAGGAACAGATTATTGAAGGGCCTGGGAAGAAGTAAAAGCAAGCAAAAATTTTCAGTTGGATTAGAACTTTATTCTCCATTGTACAATTAAATGGCTATGGTTAAGCGATTAGACGTTAGCGCAAGAAAGGTTAGTGTGTTTCCTGGTAGCGTGGTTCCCTCTATGTAATTTTGAGTTGCAATGCAATTCCTTTGGGATGAAAATGGCCTCTTTGTCTTGCTGGGCAGCTCAAGAGACCCAGGCAGCTATGTTTCAAAGTGTGAAAGGAACAGACCATGACTACGTTAGCCATTGGTTCGTACTATATTTCCTTGGGGCATATGTCCTCTTAAAATAAGTATTCATAATGGTTTGTAACCAATTTCTTAGTCCTTGTGAAAACTTGACTGGCTGGGCTAGGCCTTAGCTTTCTCAAGGCAGTACAACACAACTGGCTTCAGTGAAGGGTGCTCAGCTTAATAATTTTCTGAAGTTATGAGTACCTTTTGTAAGGTGGTTCCTGCCTGGAATCAGTCAGCTTAGATTGTTGTAGAGCATTAGAGCAGAATAAAATGGGTTGTAAATGGGCAAGTACAACTAAGTACAGCTTGCCTGGGAAACTCTGGCTGTCTGACCAGGCTGTGCTGTTGATTTAATTTCATGTATGCGGTGGATTCACATGCCCAAAAGCTGCATGCTAGCCATTTGTCCAGGGTATGAAAATTCTTCCCAGTGCAGTTGCCTGGTGGGTCTGTTCATAATACTCAAGATTGAAATTCCAGACAAGTGACCAACATCTTTTTATTTTCCTTTCCCCCTTTAGGCAAGATTTCCAGAGAGAAAATGAGAGGGGCAAACATTCAGCCACCCTTCCTCAGCACATCTGGAATCTGTTCTTGGATTCACGCGTGTATTTCTACCTACTCACCGTAAGGTGTCAGAGAAAGCTTCCATGCCCCATTTGGACAGGCTGTAGCCACCCCCTACAAAAGCCATGAGACCTTTGGCATTAATTAGATTGACTACTCTTCCCTCAGCTTTTTTCAGAAGTGGCAGAAGCTTGAGTGTGATTTCAATCAATCCCAGCAGACTAACATCCAGCACTGAGTGGAAGTCTTCAATCCTCAGCCAGTCTGTGGGTGCTACAGGTGCTGTTCCTTCAGCATTGCTCACCAAGCCAAAAAGCCCTAAGAGGATTACAAAACCATTTATTTCAGCATGCGGCAGTATCTTACCCTAGAGTTTCATATGTAGCATTGGGAAGCAAGCACAGAGTCTGCAAGAACTTCAGTGAGATGAATACAGTTGTCTGGGGTTGGCTTATAAGATCTACTCTATACACCTGGCAAAATGTGCTGAAGACCTTAGGCAATGACCCTAAAAGAGCATGGGTAAAGAAAACTATTTTGGTTGGAGATACAGGCCACCATATTAGTATTTATTTTCCAGATCTGCTCAAGTATGTGGGTTACTAATATGCACTCACATTCTTGTGAAAATCAAATAGTCTACATAAAAGTGGAGAGACTGATTTTTCTAGGTTGGGGTCTAAAGGTCTGAACCAGACATGTAGAATTAGTCAATGCTTCTGAAAATATTAGCTTAACCCTGTGTATTGATAATACTGCTTTACTACCTTATAAATTACTTGAGGAACTTTAGATAAATAGTGACACTTCCAAGAGTTTGCCAAGGACAGCCTGCGCCTGGAGGGAGAGGCTGAAAGTCCAGCACTTCATAAAGAATTTCTCAGACTGAGGTGACAGCATTAGCAGTGGTTACCCCAACCGAGAACCTGTGGCTTTCCACAAGCTGGAAGTCAGCGCCTGCCAGAGGAGGTAAGTGCTAATAATTATGTTGTCTTTGTCCTCATTTACTGTATTGAATGGTCTGGAACCCTCATGATGACGCCAATAGTGTTTTACAAGCTTTGAGGAGTTACAAGCTTTGAGGAGAAAGTCCTACTGGTAGAAGATACGTGTTTTGCTGTTTTAGCTAGTTAATTAGTTAACAAGCCTACTGAATATGTGGTATAACTGTGTGTTGCAGCTGATAGTTGAGGTGCTGAGATCCTCTTTGGCAGCCCTTAACAACATCTAGGCTGAGCTATTGGTACTGAGAACAACACACGTATTGCCATGATTAAATATATTTACCACACAAGTCTTTTTTTATCACCCTTTATAAAATCTTAAGTCTAAAAAAATTAAGTCTTCTTTTTTAACTCAACTTGTAGTATCCAGGGACCAACTCTTCCTCTTTTAGAGAAGTGCTCAGAGGTGTGTGACAGCAGGAGTGAGAGCTACCTATGTAACAACTCTTACGAAAACTGGCAGGAATGGGAAGTGTATAACTGTTACAGTGCAATTGTTGTTGAGTGCATTGCAAAAATCAGACTTATTCAGTCATAAAAAATACTCTTCTGCTTACTAGAGGAGGGCTGAAGAAGCCCTGCACCAACTGTTTTTAATGGGGTGGGATGTTTTTGTTGTCAAGAAAGTTCTTTCTGGTACCAGTTAGCACCTTCCCCCCACTGAGATTCTCCAGCTGCACCAAAAAGTCGGAAAAACACACCTGGGAATGATCTGGTTTTAATTGACTGAACGACTAGATTTTTAGGAACACTGTTGGTGAAAGTGAGGGAAAGCCCAAAAGTGCTGCTTGGAGAGAATCTCTTTGAACCGAGAAATGACAGAACTGAAGAGTGAGTGTGTTTTATCAATATGACAAAAAATGCCTCTGCAGAGAGTGGAGAGGCACCAAAACTTTTAACTAGACCACATTTGGTTATGTTGAGTCATTTTTCTGGGAAATTACCTTGCCACTTACCCTTGCCAGCCGTCTCTTCAGTCACAAACACCACAGCCCTGGCAATGCTGTTGGAGTCAGCTAAGTTCAGGTTCACTGTCTTCAGGGAGGGTGAGGAGCACGACCGTAGCTCTTGGCCTCCTTTTTCTGTGGCACATGCAGCAATGACACAAAATCCCCTTTTGTCAAGCCATTTAGCCAGTGACTTTCCAAGTCCAGTGTCACAGTCCGTTATGAAGACATGCTTTCCACTTAGGTTTCTCACTCTGTGACTGTCTCTGATGAGCCAGTAAAGGATAAGAGAAAGTATGGAAGCCAAAATTGCTATGTGCAGCGAGTCTGAAAGTGAGAGCTACAAGCAAATAAGTTAATGGTCTAGAAATGCAATGAAGCAAATGTACTTACCACCCCCCCAGCTTCCTCAGACACAGTTCCCGTAAGGGGCTTTGGTTCTGGTTGCAGCCCTCCCATCTCACTCTAAGTTAGGGGAGAACAGGGGTGGAAGCATTAGCACAATGTGGTCAGGATCCATGAATAATACGTGTCTTGGCAAAACCTTCCCTATCCTCCTTTTCAATAGATCTCCACTGTTTTCAAGCTTTGCTGACTGATCTTTCTAGTCAGCCCTGTCCTTTCAGGATGTTTCAGACTGAAAGGAATGACTGCGTCATTTCTCACAGTAGTGTTTCGGGTTTTTTTGTGGACACTGGTGATTATTTGTGCTAATACTGGAGAGAGGAATTCCTCTGGGAAGAAGGATGATTGACTGCCTGTATGATACCACCCAGGCTGCCCTTCTTATCTGTGGCGCGGAAGCAGAGTGACCTCAAGAACAACCAGAAAAGCCTAAGCTGTAGTGGTGGGTCTGATGACTAATTTGTTGTGTGACTCGTGTTGTGTGATGGTGAGTGATCTGCTCTCTGCCCCTTAGACAAGATAAACTTTGGGGCAGTGCCTGAGTATTCTGTCTTGTTCCTCATTGCCTGTTTAGCGCTGATTCACAGCACAGTAGAATATATTATACAGGAAGTGTATTTGTATAAAGAAATGGGGAAATGCATGGAGATGTTGCCCTCAAAAAAAAAAAGGCAAAAAAAAGCGCCGGGGGAGCACAAAGTTTCCTAACTCTGGTAGGGAGGATAGTGTTTGCTTATTAGAAAAAATTTTTATAAATGTAGAATACAGTTCTTGACATCTAAAATTTACCACACAAGTCTTTTTTTATCACCCTTTATAAAATCTTAAGTCTAAAAAAATTAAGTCTTCTTTTTTAACTCAACTTGTAGTATCCAGGGACCAACTCTTCCTCTTTTAGAGAAGTGCTCAGAGGTGTGTGACAGCAGGAGTGAGAGCTACCTATGTAACAACTCTTACGAAAACTGGCAGGAATGGGAAGTGTATAACTGTTACAGTGCAATTGTTGTTGAGTGCATTGCAAAAATCAGACTTATTCAGTCATAAAAAATACTCTTCTGCTTACTAGAGGAGGGCTGAAGAAGCCCTGCACCAACTGTTTTTAATGGGGTGGGATGTTTTTGTTGTCAAGAAAGTTCTTTCTGGTACCAGTTAGCACCTTCCCCCCACTGAGATTCTCCAGCTGCACCAAAAAGTCGGAAAAACACACCTGGGAATGATCTGGTTTTAATTGACTGAACGACTAGATTTTTAGGAACACTGTTGGTGAAAGTGAGGGAAAGCCCAAAAGTGCTGCTTGGAGAGAATCTCTTTGAACCGAGAAATGACAGAACTGAAGAGTGAGTGTGTTTTATCAATATGACAAAAAATGCCTCTGCAGAGAGTGGAGAGGCACCAAAACTTTTAACTAGACCACATTTGGTTATGTTGAGTCATTTTTCTGGGAAATTACCTTGCCACTTACCCTTGCCAGCCGTCTCTTCAGTCACAAACACCACAGCCCTGGCAATGCTGTTGGAGTCAGCTAAGTTCAGGTTCACTGTCTTCAGGGAGGGTGAGGAGCACGACCGTAGCTCTTGGCCTCCTTTTTCTGTGGCACATGCAGCAATGACACAAAATCCCCTTTTGTCAAGCCATTTAGCCAGTGACTTTCCAAGTCCAGTGTCACAGTCCGTTATGAAGACATGCTTTCCACTTAGGTTTCTCACTCTGTGACTGTCTCTGATGAGCCAGTAAAGGATAAGAGAAAGTATGGAAGCCAAAATTGCTATGTGCAGCGAGTCTGAAAGTGAGAGCTACAAGCAAATAAGTTAATGGTCTAGAAATGCAATGAAGCAAATGTACTTACCACCCCCCCAGCTTCCTCAGACACAGTTCCCGTAAGGGGCTTTGGTTCTGGTTGCAGCCCTCCCATCTCACTCTAAGTTAGGGGAGAACAGGGGTGGAAGCATTAGCACAATGTGGTCAGGATCCATGAATAATACGTGTCTTGGCAAAACCTTCCCTATCCTCCTTTTCAATAGATCTCCACTGTTTTCAAGCTTTGCTGACTGATCTTTCTAGTCAGCCCTGTCCTTTCAGGATGTTTCAGACTGAAAGGAATGACTGCGTCATTTCTCACAGTAGTGTTTCGGGTTTTTTTGTGGACACTGGTGATTATTTGTGCTAATACTGGAGAGAGGAATTCCTCTGGGAAGAAGGATGATTGACTGCCTGTATGATACCACCCAGGCTGCCCTTCTTATCTGTGGCGCGGAAGCAGAGTGACCTCAAGAACAACCAGAAAAGCCTAAGCTGTAGTGGTGGGTCTGATGACTAATTTGTTGTGTGACTCGTGTTGTGTGATGGTGAGTGATCTGCTCTCTGCCCCTTAGACAAGATAAACTTTGGGGCAGTGCCTGAGTATTCTGTCTTGTTCCTCATTGCCTGTTTAGCGCTGATTCACAGCACAGTAGAATATATTATACAGGAAGTGTATTTGTATAAAGAAATGGAGAAATGCATGGAGATGTTGCCCTCAAAAAAAAAAAGGCAAAAAAAAGCGCCGGGGGAGCACAAAGTTTCCTAACTCTGGTAGGGAGGATAGTGTTTGCTTATTAGAAAAAATTTTTATAAATGTAGAATACAGTTCTTGACATCTAAAATCTTCATAACTGATTACTATTTTTCTATTTGTATTTTTTGGTGTGCAAGAAATCAAACAAAATAATTAATTAAATGAAATATTTATGGAAGCATAAATAAGCATTTTCCAGACATCCTGTTAAAGAGAAACATTTTTACAGGTGCTAAGCAGTCACCTAGGCTCTAGTTACTTATGTGTAGAGATTCAGACATCTAGCCTTTAAAATGTGATTGTTTTCAAGAGATGAAGTGATACTTTAAAAAAAAAGGAATTTGTGATTATTTTACATCCCGAAAGTACTCAAAGAAGAAGAAGTCTTTCTTCTCTAACTCATAGCTGTCTGAAGTTAAGCATTCATTTGGCTGATTTTTGTGTAACACCCTTGCTACCTTAAGACATGAATATTAAAGGAAGCCAAATGTATTAGGCCTGGTTGCTTGACCCTGTCTGGTGTTCTTGTTCCTACTGAGCTCATGGAGTCATTTGGATTTCTTCTGATTTTAAATTTTGCTGTCACCTCACCCAGTAAGAAGGGAAGGAATGTCAGAATTTGATAATGAATGAATGTTGGACTCTCATTAAATAATTAAATCAGGCACATAGCTTATAAATGATAAGGAGTGACAACATTTATTGCCACTTAATGATTTATTTTACATTGGGTGCCTCAGTGGCTGTCACTATGGACTTATGAGCTACTGGTTAATGCTCCTTGATTTTAAAATGTTAAGCAAGTTCATACAGATAAGAGTTTGCTTCTCCTTCCACTGTAATCTGCAGGGAGGCTCCTGCTGAATCTTTGGGGTGCTGGTGTGGTCCCTGTGCTACACTGGTTATTTTAGCAGCCCATGTCACTGTTGTTTTGAGGCTGGTGTAATCGGCTCTCTAGTTTAGGTACTTTAGATACTTGGCTTTTTTGCTGTGAATGTCCCTGTGAGGTCTGACAAGGATTGCAGTCTTCCAGAATGTGTGCACTTTGGAGTCATCTTTGTAATGTTTCACTGAGTTGGTGACATTTCTTTTCTGAGAGGACTCATAGAATGTGCTCTGAAGAGGTACCATTAAAACTGTGTGAAAGAGCTCAGGCTAATTCAGGCTTCTGTGCTGTAAAATAGTCTGAAAACAGGACGTTGCAGCAGCTGATCATAGATATGCCCAGTCCGTTTGCAGTGACGTGCCAGTCAGTGACGTTTCCTTGGACTGCTGATTTAGAATTTGGAGCTGAGCTGGACACAGAGAGAGAGAGGAGTTGCTACCAGCAGGCTCTTGTAACCCCATGCCAATAAATCTCGGCAAACTACTCCACAAGCTAGTGCTCTGATATATCATTTTAGGACACAATTTGCCTTTTTCCTCAATACAAAATTAAATGAAATAATTAGAGATTTGGGGAAAAGATTAACCTTATACGAAACAGCAGCTGTGTATCACACCTTCCTTCCTTGGCTGTGCTGTAAGGAGGAAGCAGGGGACAGTGAGCTTTGCACTACTGAAAAGCAAGTTAAATTTGAAGCTGGGCTCTGTGGAGAAGTTCCGGAGTGTTTGGCCAGGAGGCCTTTTGGATCCTGTAAGAGAAACACCTGGGATTGCTCTGGTTAGTGTTAGTCCTTGTATTTAGGTAGCAATAATTGGCACAGAAGCCTTGTAAGACAAGGGGCTCCAGGGGCAACAGCTGAGAGGGCAGCATTGTGTGCGGAGCCTCTGCTGCTCCCCTCTCCCCTACCAGCCCTGGGCTGATATCCCTAAGCCTGTAATCCCTAACTGCCTAGTTGCCCCTGAGTACTGGTGCTCCTTCTCTGATAACACATGGACATTTGGTGCTGAAAATGTGGCAAGTTTTTCTCTGCTGGAGCCTTCTGCCAGAATTTACTTTGCTAGATGATATCATTGCTGCTGGAAGGAGTCCGGGGTCAGAAGCAAAGGAAACAGTCTCAGTTAAAAGTTTTTTTCCAAGAAAATAGTCTAGTTCTGTGAATGTACAATGTTATGCAAAATTTGATAACTGTGGAGCACTAAGAAAGCCACTTGCCTTCCAGGGGCATATCGATTTTCAAATAGCTGCCTGGAGTGGCAAAGAGTGTGTTTCCAGAGAAAATGTCAGCATGATATTTCAAGGGTATTGATATATCTTCATAAATATTGAATTCTGATTACTAACGTAGCCAGTAAATAGCTCAAGGCAAATTCTACTTTCCATTAAAACTCTGATATTTGCCTGGCAAATTGAGAACTCTTGGGATAGAGCTTGGCTTCTTATGCCGATACAAGTACCATTATAAAAGCAATTGATTTTAGAGAAAGGCAGCATGACTACACCAAGAGCCCTTTAAGATTCTTATATGACTGCAAAATACAGCATCCCTCTGCATCTCCGCACTAAAGGAAACTGAAGCACATACACCATATTGAAAGGGGGTGTTTTACTTGCACAGCAAGTTGGGAGTCGACTCCTCAGGTTGGAGTGAGGTTTGGGGTCTGTGTGTGCTTTGGGTTCCCTCAGCTGCCACCGTGCTGGCAGTGCAAACCTCCAGAAGTCAGTCTGCAGTGGATTAGAGTGACCTGCCAGGCATGCTGAGGAAGAACTACCAAGGGGAACTTGAGGGACTGGGGTTCTTCAGAAATAGCGCTCACATAGCATTCAGTGGGAGGTTTAGATGTATCAGACGTCGCTCTACAGATCACTTTAGATGTATCAGACATCGCTCTACAGACCACCCAACAGCTCTTCAGAGTCTAGGAAGTACAGATGTTGATAATCGGTCATCCTGCCAGAGCTACATCCCTGGTCTTCCGTTAACAAATTGAACAAATATACAGGCACAAACACATGGCATCTCTTGCATTTAGGTGAGATATTGCTGCACATGCAGGGCTTTGCACTTCTGTTTCATGGAAAAGGAGTGTTTTTTCAAATGCTGTGGAAAAATGTCAGTGTGATAATTCAGTTCAGTGATCAGCAGAGAACTTAAGATCTTCACTAATATGTCACCTTAAAAGAAGTACATCTCCAAACTCTCCTACTCAGTATTTTTCAGGGAGATGAATGAAGACTGGTACAATGGAGGCTGATTTCTTGGCTTGATTGTATCTTTCCTTGTATTGCTTGCACTTCAGAATTTGATCACAGCATCAGTAAAAGACCCAGGAAAATGAAAGCCTGTAAACTCTTAGATGACTGAACCAGTAGTTAGAAATAAAGTAGAGAAAGATTCCAGATGTTGTGAAGAAAATTTCCGAGATAGCATTTAATTCAGACCCTGTAGGTACTTAGATAACCAACAGTTGTTAAAATCACTGTAGAAAGGAAGGGACTGCACGTTCTCTTGACTGTGCACTCAAAACCAAGTGTTTAATTCCTTCCCTTAGCTATTCTGCAAATGCATGTAACAGGTACTGCTCACTACAACAACAGACAGGACTTTGGTTTTGTGCCAGTACTCACATTCTGGGGAGACATCTGCAAGCTCAGTCTATACCCCCAGGTGCTCACAGGTCACCTTCGCCAGTTATTTCCAGTGTCAGAAAAAAGAAGCTGCCCAAGTCAAACTCATAAGCTTGTGCACCAAGACCCGCATGGTGATAGTTTCCAGAAAAATCTCACTGTAAATTCTGTGCCTGGTGGTGCTTTCTGAGCACTGTACGTTGGCTGACAAGCACAGCCCCTCTCCCTGATGCTGATAATGACTTGTGCTGTTATGCTTCTACCTTAGGGACTTACTTGGTGTTAGTCTTCTGCATATGCTTCATGCCTGCTTGTCCTACCTATGTTGTGTAAGCACTGCTGGCTATATATAGTAATCAACAGAGCCTGGGGGACTGTCAAGACTCATTAGTGAGAACTAATCTACTCAGCTGTAAAGGACTGATCTGTGCTTCCTCTTGAAACCAGCAGGAATCTTTCAATTGATTTAACAGGGCTTGATTCAGACCTTTTCTTCTGCATGGGAGTGAGTTATTAGTGATGCAACTTCATCTTTTAAGATACATCCTCGTGTGTGAAAATTTTCAGGGATGAAATTATTTTTTTCTGGTCTAGAGACAGCTTTTTCATACCAGAAGCAAACCAATTGCCTGAGTAACTAAGCAATGTGCTTCAAATAAAGTCTCCAATTCTACAAACTGTCCAAAGAGCAGCTCTGCAGTTTGCATGGGAAAAGACTAGCATCCGCCTGCTAGGCTGCTTGTTTGTTTGCTACCTGGCTCAGAGTTTGCTGGGAGCTTGTGATCCAGCTCTAAGTGCTGTTGTACAAAAACGTGAGCCTCCCCATCCAGAGCACTGTGCAGTGCCGGATGCTGCAGGAAGACAGGAGGCTTGGGCAAAGACCATTCTCAACAGCAGAATGAATGAATAGGATTTTTATGAAAACTGATCAGAGACTAACTGAATGAGAAGGAAACTAAAACAGGAAACCAAGCCAGGTGGTAGGACGGAGCTGGAAGTGATCTGGCCCCATTCAGTTGAGCGGACCATGGCAATAGCAATCCATTCCAGCCTGGCCAGTGACCCCTGTCTGGCAGCTCCCTGCCAGGAGCTGCAGCGTTGTTAGTTCATCCTCTGCTTGTTGGGAAGCTCTTCCCCTACAGTTTTTTCTTCCTGCTCATTTTGGCTCAGGCCTTGATATTCTTGCTTCTTTTGCCACTCTGAGTGCCACACCAGCCCGAGCTGTGGTGTTGGTTGTTACTGCACTTTGAGCACCCTCGGGGCCGTCAGGGGATGTGTGCAGCTTGCTGGAGACTTGGTGATTTAGCAGGTGGCTGGCAGAGATTTCCTTTTCAGCACGTCTGGCAGATGTGCCTGCTGCGCCTGCCCCATCCTATCTGGCCTGATTCAAATGACAGGCTCTACAGTGTGGTTGAAATGACCACAAAACAGCACTCCACCAGCACGCATAGGCCATCGCAGGGGAACGTTTCTCCAGTAGTGTCAGGTCGGGAGTCCTGCTATTGTAGGTGACAATCCTTTGCCACACAAATATAAGGGAGAAAAACAGAAGGGGTTTCTTTTTCTCTACTGCAGATTTTTTTCTCAGCAAACTGTTTTTGAACTGTAGGTAATATTTTCAGAAAGCTGAATAGATCCTGCTTGGCATCTCGGAAAACATTGAAATGGGGAATTTTTCCAGTACGTTTCCTTTCTCACAGACATTCCTCTGACTTGCTCAGAGTGTAGCATGCAAGGGAACATAATAGAAGAGAAACCACATAAGCAAAATGTGAGCTCCGTGCGTAGCTTTCCATTAGAGAGCTTGGCATGAGACAGTCTTTCATCTGCAGAAAGCAGCACTTGACTGTCTGATTTCCCATTGACTCCTTAGGTGCATTTCATGAGATCCCTGATTCCTAGAAGGGATGTGGAAAAATTACCCTACTTGAAACATTGTGTTGGGGAAGGATGTTTAGTTTTCAAGTGAAAAGCAAGAAGCTAACATTATTCCTGCTGGACAAATGGAGGCTTTCAAGTGCACCTTTGTGTGCTGGCTTTAACAAGTTAACCAAAGCGAGGTCCCATGGGTGCTGACCCCCAGGATGTTCTGACCTTGTGGAAGTCATGGGTCTTCTCCTGGACAAGCCCCTTCTAGTCCCTAAAAACACATGGCTAAATATTCACCTGCCATATACAGTCTTGTGAGCAGGACAGGTTTTGATAGCCATAGCAGAGTGCACTGTGGTTTGCTCATTTCCAGAAGTCACTGGCTTTTGCTGCTGGCATCTGAGTAAATGAAGCATCTGGTTCCTGGAGAGAAAGTGCCAGCAGAATCTGACCCTCCATACAGTGAGAAGTAATAAATTGAGCAGCTGATATTTTTCCTACATTTCTAATTTAAATAATACATTTACAGCTAGTGTGCACTGTCCCAAATTCTGTTTGTATTTTCCTTTAAATGTCAACCTTCGCAGTGCTAGGGTCTTGCAGCAACTGAGTATATTGTGGTCTGACAGGGACCAAATTAAACCAGCCAAACTGTAATTTCTAAAGATAAAGATCAGAATAGGTGGTGTCATTTCATACTTTCTTTGTTTCTCTAATAGCTTTTGGGTGAGTAATCTTGGCGAGGGAAAAAAAAAGAAGCTTTATCTTCTATGTGAAGTGACACCAGGGCTGTCTGCTAAGATCATAGGACATGACTGGCATCCCCAGGGTCCAGTGCTGCCTGGTCTGCAGGAGCCAAGAATTTCACTGACTGGGAGGGACTGCTGTCTTGCCTGGAAAGTTAACAGCTCATGCAGATTGGGAATGGGAAGCTACTATCTCACCAGACAGCTTCCCAGCAGCCTTCAGATTAAATGTTAAGTAAAGGAAACTTGTTTTTCTGTCACTTTTATTGATGTAAAGTTGGTTTTAAAATAATATCTACTACAGCAATGCCATCAATACCTTCGTAAGAGTAGCCAGTTAAGAGGTAGTCACCTCAAACCTGCTCTAGAGGGAAAAACTTTTTTAGATAGCTGAGATAGAAATTAAATGACCCCACTAAAGCCTAAGCATAAGCTGCAATGAGAGAAGTAGAATTGCTGTTTTGCAAGTTCCAAAGCAACTAAATTGAAAACCAGCACTATTTGGATAACCACCAGGTAACTTGCTCTTTAGCCCGATCATGTCACAGCACATTCACCAGCAAGAGGAAAGCATTTGTTTCATTGCTGAGCAGTTTCCATGGCAGTGGGAAATGGCTTCCTCAGCAACACAGTTATAGACTCGACATGGGGTCTCTGCAGTTCTCAAGCACTTTGCCATGATTAATTCCAGCGGAGATGGGTTTTCACAGGCACTTGTGTCAGGACTTGAATGAGAGCAGCACATCTCCACAGGAATTACTCAGCATCTCACAAAACACAGGGCTATTACTTTTATGCCAAGAAATAGCTCCCAGACTTGAAGTCTTGCAAGAATTTTTTTTTTTTTTAAATTAAAAACACCACTACCTTAGTTCTTCACTACCTTAAATGCAGGTATTGGGCCCATGTAATTGGATCCACCGTCTATGTTTTTAGCTATGGATCCTTTACAACAGAAGGGTAGAGTTGGACTTTAGAGATCCTCAGGATTTAGCATGCTGACTAGGACAATGCCTCACCTAACCCTTGCAAAGTCCTGTGAGTGGAAAGGGGTGTGAACCCCAACCAGCTCAATGACTTGAGCACTCTATTTTGCTCTCGCTCCAGTTAGGACTGTACCAAGGAAAGGCAACCACAGTTTCCTTGGCCTCAAAACTGAATAGGAGTGACTACTAAAGAAAGCAGTGTCAGGAAGAGGATTTTTCTGATGCCCCCCTTTCTAGTTTATATTGCACGAGTTCACTTCTCCCAGAGGAAGGCCCTGTCCCCATTCCCTTCTCTGCCTGAGAAGACTGAACTCTTCCTGCTGAAGGGACTTAAAGCGACATTCCCTATTTTCCTGGGATATTTTTGTCTCATGGATCTTTGTGAAAGCTGGAGCCTTCAAGCATTCTCAAACTGAGAACCTCAGAGGTATAAGAACTGAAAAATTACAGTAATTTCTGAAAGTTTAATAGTTCCTTTGTTTTTTCTGGTTTACACTTGAAAAATGAAATAATGTAATTTTTTTTAATAGTAGCAGATATTGAAGAAATAGATATATTTCTTACATTTATAGGCAATGTGGGTGTATTTAATATATAGTTTGTATTATGCCAATATAGAGGACCAATCTTACAGAAACAGCCTTGTCTGTGATAGGGGTTATATTGGCAAATATTTACTTTGCATTGGAAGCTGCAAGCTCTACTCTGTTCCGCAGCAATAGGAAGTCTTGTACAGCTGCTGGCATTCTTGAGAGGGGATTCCAAAAATACTTAGCATCCTGCCCAACAACATAATGGGCACGTGGATGGAGACTTGTTAGGGCATGCTCCATGCACTGAATAACTGGTGAAATGTCCTTGTTAAGGCAGATCCTGGACAGCTTTTCTTTCTTTGCTGCATCTGTAAAGCTCAAAAAAAGAAGATAATTTAGTGACAAGGTGACTCTTAACTCTTTCCCCCACCCTGATCCTTTCACTAAGGAATTGGTATTTCTTGTTTCTCCCTACACAAGAGTTTGTAGCAGTTTCTGAAGACTAAGTTCCCAACCATAACGACCCTGTGATATAGTTACCCTTAATTGTGGAACAGTCATGGCAAAAGAGGGACTGCATGGTCTGAGAACAGGCAGCCAGCACTGACAGTAACTCAGAATAAACATAACTATGTAAGAGACAAAAGGAAACAGAAATGCTATAGTTGTAAATGAGGCTCTTGTAGTAAAGAAATTGCTTTGCAGTAAGTTGTGAATCACAACTATAAAGAAAAAATTGGAGGGACAAGAAAGTCCAAGAATGAAAAGACAAGCAGCCCCTGCTCAAGCAGGCTCAGCCAGTGTCTGTCAGACAGGCCCAGAATGGCTTCATCAATGCTGGGGTTAGCAGAAGCAAAGGGAATTGATCCCTATTTGATTACTAAATAAATAAACAATAATGACAGAAAAACACATCAAGTGCATTGATTACATCATCAGATAAAAGTTTTTCTGTTTGGGAGTTTGCTCAAAAGCTTCATGCCAACATGAATAATTAATCTTTAACTGAGATTTGAATAAAGCTTCTAGAACAAGTCTTTTGTGCAGATGGTCATATTGTGGTGCAGACGTATTTGAAGAGTAACTTTTTGCATCACGTCTTTCCAAAAAGTCAGAATGATTTAAAGATAGAGTGCTACTTTGCAAGGCTTTCTTAGCAAGAAGTGCATTGCTTGTTTTGACACAAATATCTGGAAATTGCCTCACCTTTCTGAAAATACTCCTCTCCGTATTGCTTTTTAATATCAAGGGGGAGCTTATTCCAAATAACCTCCTTCTCTTTCATAACCTGTGCTGGATCAGTTAATGCTGTTTTGAACAGTCCAGGTTGAATGCAACAAACCTTAACTCCAAAAGCTTTCATGTCTCTCCTGCAAAGACAGCCCAATGATTTAATTACATTAGACATTCTTATTAATGCTGTGGGAATTTTTCCCTACTAACACTTTTATTTCTGTCTTTTCATGGCACACCAGCACAGAAATACTTTGAGGTTTGTTCATAGTTGTGAATTTTCAGCTTGTTATCCCAAGATGAAAGAGGAATAAAGTATCTTACCTGCTTCACAGAGTGAGAACAGGCATAGGCAGTGACAGTGCAGTAGCTGGCACAGTGTATTTCACAGCCTAGTTCAACTTTCAGCAGCTCATTAGTTATCTGACTTGTTGGCTGCCTAAATGCAAGTATTACATGTTTTAGGGAATCCTTCTCAACCTCTGGCTGATGCTCCAGATTGGTACACTTCCTTCTGGCCCCATCTTGTATCTGTCAGCCATCTTTAAGTGTCTTGGCATCTAAAATGGCACTATATATTTAGGCACATGAGTTGCTCCCTGTCTGTGTTTCAAGAAGTCATGGTGGTCCCCAGGATGAATTTGCTGTGTTCTCTAGATCTCTCTAATGATCGATATAATTAAGAGAAGACACTTTGGAGAATGAAGCTCAGATAAGAGTTACTATCATGCAATAACTCATGGTACATTTTTTTCTGAATGGGCAGCTGATGGAAAATTCTAGATGCACTTTTAAATTAGGAAAATATTGCAAAGACATCTCAGTTCCTTTGAGTGGGGCTTTCTCTGCCATAAGAGTTCATGCTAAGATAGGTCAGTTGTGAATCTATACGAGTACCAATTATGCCGCAATAATACTTGAGGACCACTTGTGTGCTAACAGACTTTGTACATTAATCTTCAAAAGTGGCATAATCTATTTTGAGCAAAGGCACTTTAAGAAGAATTAGTTCTAAGGGTATGGTGCTTTTCAGTTTTATACCAAGTGCTAGGATTATAAATCAGGTCCTATTCTGCATGTTCCAATTTTTAGTTAGTATGTGAGCCTTCAGAAAAAAAAAAAAGAGTGGTCTTTCCTCATAGTGAGTATTATACCTTAAGCTGTCATTAAATCCTTCTACCCCAAACTTTGAAGGAAAATAGCCTCCGCCACTGAACGCTAGGCGACCTCCAATACTGGATACATTTACTATCCTTCCCTTTGCTTTTTTTATCAAGGGAAGCATATTTATTGTAACATTTATGAGTCCAATTAAATTAACTTCAATTGGTTCTCTAAAGTGCTCAATATCCAACCAGTCTGTAGGAGCTGTTGGCCCCAGAATCCCAGCATTATTGACAAGTCCCCAGAGGCCTGCAGGAAAAAAAAAGAAGAAAGTCAGGAAGCAAATTTTCACCAAATGTGTCAGATTAATTGCAGTGGGTGAGACTTCACAGAAAATCAGTGAAGGACCAAGAGGGCAATGAAGATTTGGAGGAATTGCTTGAGAATGTCCTGTGGTATTCAGCTTTATTCTTAGTGTTCAGGTTTTATCACCACACTTCCCATCACCCTTTGCGTAGTCTTCCTGCAGCGGTATTTTGGGCAGGTGGTGGTGATGCTGGCTTTTTGTGGGAAAAAGGGAAGTAGAGGAAGACAAGGTATGGCAAAGAGCAACTAGATTGAGTGACAGGAAATGCGTAAGGAATAGATTTGGTCCTTGGTACAAGTAGAGTGTCCTGAGACATGGGTAAGTGTGTCCTGGTTCTGAAATGGATGAGATGCCAGGACAAGAAAAAACAGCTTTTTATAGCGAAAAAAAATAAATTAAAATTCTTCTCAAAGGTCTGAAGATAGAAACTATGACAGAGAAGGCTTTCAGTATTCTTTCTTCCTGCACTGACATTTTTGTTATAGCAGAGAGTTTATGCCCCACATCGACACGCCCCAACTGGAGATGGGAATGATTTTTTTTTAGATGAACAACCAACTCCAAAAAATGAGGTGGAGGCAGGGAAAACACACTAGATTGATTTGAAAAACATTTCTGAGCCCTCTGATGAAGTGGGAGGGGAAAATGCAATAACATAAAACCAGTTCTTCTCTTGTATCAGCTGTTAGAATGAATGCTGTGTGAATGAATACTTTTGCTGGTCTGACCTTACTCATAGTTTTTCTTGGGGAAAAAAAATCACTTTGGCCTGAAACCAAGCACAGTTTCAAATAAAAGCAATTTGGCAAGTTACAAGCAATTTTATGAAGAGATGACAGGTCAAATGGAGATTGGAATTTAGCACTAAGTATAATTGGTACCACAGCACATCATGATAGACCAGATTTAAGACTCAAAGTTAGCAGAATCTGGCCTATGGGATCTCAGGCTTTTGTAAATTCTACTGCAATACCACTCCTACTGAAATCAGGCAGTACTAATGGCATCATTAACGCATCATTAATGCATCATTAACACATCATTAATGCATGAGTAAGGCCAGCAGCATCTTGTCTTGCACAGCTTGTTGGATCAGAGATACAGGATTTTTCTATTTTTCAGATGGTCTGCAAGCAATATTCCAAAATAGTTCTATTTAGATTTTTTTTTCAATAGAGTTCATATGTATTTTTTGTTTTTGATAGAACGAGTGATTACTTACAAGTCATTTATTACATGTATTCAATTTTTAAAACAAGAACTCTTTAGGCCTGTGAAGTGGAATTTATTGGGTTTGTTCCCTAGGCAAGTAGCACGGCATGGGAGGTGCTGAGCACTCGTGCCATAACCCAGACACGCGTGCAACTGCAAACAGTCCCAATGAAGGGTCCAGGAACTTGATTCCTGCTCTGACAGTGATGTATCAATAAGCCTGACTTTTTGAGCACATTCCCAAATATTTACCTACCACTAACTAGACGTATAAAACATCCCTCTAGTGAGATCTTCTTCCATGTTTCAGGAAGGTGACAGGACATCCAAATACACTTGTCAAATGTCAATTAAAATAAGCTGTGAAAGTAGCGTGGTATTTTTAAGGAAAACTCTATTTTTTATTTTTATTATTTTTAAAGAAATATATCCTGGCACTCACCTTCTGACTGAACTTCAGCTTTGACCCATGCAGCCACTTTCTTAACGCTCTCTGAATCTCTCACATCTAGCAGCACTGTCTGAAGCTGCTTTGAGGTCACAGCTTTTAACTCTTTGGCTCCTGTTTCAGTCAGGCAGCTGGCAAAAACACGGAATCCCTTTTTATCAAAAATCTTTGCTGCCATATTTCCAAATCCTGTGTCACATCCAGTGATGAATATATATTTTCCAGCAAGATCTGTAACCTTCATCCTGTCTCTTGTCCTCCAATGCCACCACAGAGAGATGATGCCAAGAAAGACTAATATGTAGCAAAGCATTTTTACTGAAGTTTTCTGGACACGTTCTCCTGAAATGAAAAAAAGAAAAAACACAAACTTCTAGTTTTTAAAGGATTGTTAGCTGGTTGGGTTTTTTTCTTTCTTTCTTGAGTTGACTAACAGCAGCTACTCAGAGAAGCAGGCACAGTTCAGCACAGCAGCCTTTTTGTGCTAAAACAAACAAAAACCCTTTCTTAAGCAGAAGTGAGGACTGGAGATCTATTGCAATAAAGTTACAAAGAATAATGCACATGCGATTGCTACTGCCAGATCAGTAAGCTCCTATTGAACATATCTGGAAGAACCATTGACTAACTAGAAAATAATAGCAAAAATGAAATATTTGCATGGAAACCAACAGAAATGTCTGAACTTAGTGACAGCTCATAGAAAATTAAAGTGTAAGGCTGGGGCCAGCTGGAAACAAAAGGTAAAGCAAGAACATGCTGAGAGAGTTGGGGTTGTTCAGCCTGGAGAAGTGAAGGCTCCGGGGTACCTAAAGGGGTCCTACAGGAGGGATGGATAGGGACTCTTTATCAGGGAGTAGAGTGACAGGATGAGGAATAATGGTTTTAAACTGAAAGAGGGGAAATTATATGGGATATCAGGAAGATATTCTTTACTGTAAGGGTGGTGGAACACTGGAACAGGTTGCCCAGAGAAGTTGTGGATGCCCCATTCCTGGAAGTGTTCAAGGCCAGTCTGATGGGGCTTTGAGCAACCTGCTCTAGTGGGAGGTGGTTGGAACTCAATGATCTTTAAGGTCCCTTCCAACCCAACCCATTCTATAATTCTATTATCAACAGGACCCAGATCCTTTCTCGTTACTGTGAACACTTAGGCAATGCTAGCCAGGAAAAAAATATTTACTTTATTTTACTAATACTTTTGGTTGTCAGTGCCAGATGCTCAAGAAAGAGAGTATCAAGTACTGCCACTTTGCCTCTCAAGAAATAAATTCCCACCAGCTAGGCTGTGGGAGTCTGCGTGTGGTCCCCAAGCGCAGGAAGGAGGATGCAGGTTGGAGCACTTCACCTGCCAGAGTGAAGCTCAGGCAGTGTCACAACATCAATATGCCAAGATATGTTTGGGAAGAGCCTGCATATCTGGGATTATGCTCCAATTGACTTAATGGTGAACTCACAAGTAACTATTGATGATGGATGAAATTCTGCTCAGAGAAAACAATTCAGTTATACTGAATTCATGAATGTTCATGGCCTGGAAAACAGGAGATGCCTCATGCAATTGACTGAAAAAGTAATTCTAAATAGACATAAAGGAGTACAGGTCTTTTTAGAGATCTCTGACAGGCAATCCATCTCTGCACAGCAAGATGCAATGAAGTTGCATTTACTATGGCCAAATTCTCCTCTGGCAAAACCTAATTCAAAAGGAAATTGCAAACACCTGACGTGTTTTTAAGCATTATAATTGGAACAGGAACATGGCTTTTATTTTCTGCACATAGAACTGCTTTCTGCTCTGACATGGGAGGTTCAACATATCTCCATTTACATTGCAGGCCCCAGGGCTGCCCATGGTGCTTTTTTACATAAATATATGTGCTGCTGAAATGCAAATCCGTGTGTTGGCTGGAAGTTACCCAGGGTGTTGCTAAAGTTTCAATGCACAGATGCTAGATTTTGTTGCTTAACTTCCGCTGCAGCATCGGTAGTGAAGAAAGTCTGAAGAAGTAATTAGATAACTGCCCTCCCCCTCCCCATGTAGTATTTCACAGTTCCTTTGTTAAGAGAAGGAAATTTTTCCCTTGGCAAAATTTCCTGTGTTTTAACATGTTGAGCAACTTAATTTTGATATAAAAGTTAAAGTTTGCATTTCAAATTTACAGGTTTTTGGGGGAGTTTGTTTTGGTCAGGTTTTTTTTTGCTATCTCTGCTATTTTTATTCGCACAAGAGTTGGAGTGGAGAAAAAAAGTCCTCATTGGCTGCCAAACTTAGGTAGGATCAACAGGATAAGTGAGTACATGTCCTGCTGCCGGTACTTTCCAAGAGCGGATAGTGAGTGGCTAACTATAGAAACAAGGCAAGTAACTAGAGCTAAGTCCCTTGCTGCCTACCTCCCGGTCTCCCTGCTGGACCCGCTCCAGATGCTATTTTGTGCTTTCAGGATAGCGTATTTCTGTGACCAAGAAATCAATACGCCATGACTTAGTGTCTCTGATCATGATTTAGACCATGGGAGAAGAAAGAAGTTTGTTTCTTTCTTTGTGCTAGCCTCCCACCTGGAGCCTCCCAACACTCACACACTGGGACTTTTTACTTTCCATAACAAGAGAAAGTCACCTTCACAGAGATGTCCCCATTGTGCCCAGAGGTGCTTTCCTTATTTCACTGTAAGGAAAGTATTTGCTATTCCCCATTTCAGTGTGAAGAAACATAGTTTGATTGAAAAAAAAAAAAAAAAAAGGAAGTCTTGCTCTGCGGTGCAAAAAGGAAGCTTCTGTGTAGAATACTTGCTAAACACCTTTAAACAGACAGTAGCTCTTTCAAAATTCATGCCATTGACATAATTCCGTTTTTAATAGCATACATCACAAATCAGTAAGCTCAGTGTAAAATTCACTTTTCACTGTACAAAATGAATACTAAGTCGTGTTTGTATAACTGTTGTAGTGCCAAGAAAAGAATGAAGACACGGCATGTAGGGGCTTGCCAAGCTGACCAGCTGTGTGTGTGTGTTGACCCTTCCTGCAGCTTCCCACTCCTCTAGTCTCTGCGCTGATCAGAATCCCGCAGAGGACCTTGTTTCTTTCCAGCCCAATGTTGTTGCCTTTTTCCTCTAGATACTTTTATAACTGTGATGAATTTTTTAGATGAATTTCACAAACAATATTTAACAAGTGACGCTACAAGAACAGAAGTGGAAGTAATCTGTGTAATAATTCAAGCTGCAAAATGTATCTACTTTATTTGAAATGTCCCTTACCTTAAATCAGGGAACCAAGAGACAGTTGCTTTTATTTGGAGTTCACTTTACTTTCATCTTTGTACTATTGAGCTGAAAAAATTGTGATAGCCTGTGGAGTAAAATAACAAAATATGTTTTCAAAATCTGGGAGAAATAAAGAAGCAAACAAAATGTTTTCCTTTGTTTTTCAAAGAATCAGAGGACAGGAAGGTAAAGCATCATGCAGAAGCAGCAGCGTAGTACAATACACTTCTCCCTTATGCTTCTGACACTCTGAGGTGCTATCTCTGTAAGTGGCACGATTGACATGGGGATTATACTCAAGTGAAATATCTGGTGTCTGGCTTCTTGGTCCCAGAACCACTATATGCTAGCTACAGAAATAAATTTGGCTATGAATGGGTAAAAAATAAATTAATGAAGCGTAAGAGCTGTCTGGTCAATGCCTTCTGTCAGGCAATAGAGTCTAGAATGCTGTAATTGCATACAGACTTGACTTAGCTCAAAAAAAAGAAACAAGATGCTCATCTGGAGTCTCAGCCTGCAGTGGCCGACTCAGTCTATTCTTCTGGTGGAAATTTGTGCCTGCCTACTCCTCCATAGCTGTGAGCACTCTGTGCAAAATTTCTGGCTATCTTTAGGAAGCTTTGGAAACATCTTATTTGATTGCTGCTACTAGCTGTTGTCAATAATGGAATAAAGATCAATAGTTTATAGACTACATCTTAGAGCTGAGGAGTCCTGTGCCAAAAGAGTGCATGGGCTTTCATTTCTTATGAGAAATTATCTGTCCGGGAATAACTAAGATTAATTTTTATTCACTTGCTCTTATGAACTGTTGGAAAAAATCCAGAGAAGAGAGGGTATCTTCATATGGAGGGGTAATATGCTGGAATTAACAGCTAGTCCAATTGAGGGAAGAAGCAGTTCTTTTACTGTGTTTAACTCAATTAATTGTAATCTTTTTCTTCCTGTGCAAAGACGTATTAAAATGACATGAGCTCTAAGTGAAATGTTTCCCTTCAACCCAGACCATGACTGAGAGAAATTATCTGGAAAATATTGCTCATCTTACATGAACTATAAGCTACAAAAGGTATCTGTAACCTACAAAAATTGAGACTTTGCAAGTGTCCCCTGCAAGAATTCAGGGATGGGAGCATCTGTCCTCAGTCTCCTCAATTTACTGAATTCCTGCTCTATATTGTTTTACTTCAGTTGCTAATTCTTCATTCACTGAAGGGTTGACTAGGTACAGAAACTGAGTTTTCCCTTGCCAGGACATCAGAAGGAAACAAAGTACACAGACAGATGATTTTTCAGCATAGATTCATTTTTATGGTCCATGTCATAAAGTCGGGTCAGAATTTATTAATCTTCAGGACTTTTTGTAAGGCTGAATTGAGAGAAACAGAGGTTTAAAAGGGAGCAGAGCCCTTCAAAAAGGTTGGGTAGTCTGTGGTCTCAGCTCTGATTCATCACTGCCTTAATCTAACTTCATTAAGCAGCGTGAAACAGCCTCTGTGCACACTTCCTGAATGCTTCGACGAGCAAAGTCTTTAAGTGAAAAGACTGAAGTAATTTGTGTAAAGCTAAAATTGTATTCTGTCACTGGAAAGCCAGCCATTGTCTGGAGATGTTGGACTTCCTTGCGTGCTAAGTGTGAGCTCTGCTCCAGTACCTTGAAGAACAAAGGCATTGGAGGACCTTTGGCCATGTTGCTACTGAAGCTGTCAGGGGAGAATGAAGCAAAGCAGGGTTCTGCTCCACCACATAGTTTTTCTTCAGGCCTTTCTACTCCTGTGCCCTTCACGGCAAGTAATTATTATTGTTTTTTCTATGATGTGGTGTAGAAGATGATTAGCACTGTGACATTATCTCAGATAGTGTTATTCTCAAACCTATGCTGCATACATTAGTATAGATTGTAGACTACTTTTTGTTAAGAAAATGGGAGAAGACACCAGATTTGTGTTTGGTTATGCTGTCACTGTGAACACGGTAATGAGGAAAATGCAGTTCTGGTTAGCTACATTTAATTGTGATATACTTGTGTGCTTCAGGCCTTATCATGGAAAATTTGAGAGCACAGAAGACTTGAGGGGAGCTGACAGTCACTAAGATTAAGGCATTGCCTTTCTATCTTGTCCTGTCAGTCAGGGCTCTCTGCAGTGAGAACTGATTTCAGAGGGGAACCAAACATGTTTGCCATTTCACTCTAAACTGAGGTGACATTGGGTGAGGTCACAGCGTTGTCTTCACCAATGTCCCTTATTGAAAAATTCATGGAGGGTTTATGTCCAATGAAAATTCACTACTACTCAGGAGCTTCCAGGTTGTAAGGTCTTCATTTAAAAGGAAGGATGTTAAAGTATCGGAAGCTATGGGGAGAGGGAGAAGCTATATGTTAGAAAACAAAGCTTTTGAGCAAGTCTTTAATCTGAGTTTAGCTTAATCTCTGAACTACTTTTCATATGATTCAGCTGATATCGCTATTTATTGCCAGGACAGTACTGTAAATTATTGCATGGCTAATAAAGTAATTCTATACTAATGCTGATAAAATAATGCTGTAATAATATCTTCCCATACATTTTTTTTTCCGCAGAGAACCGTCTGATATCCTTATGTATAATTGCTTTCCAAGTGCCCTGACTTTAAGTTGTGAGATTACATTAGTAAAATTTAAACCCTCCATTAGATGTCAATGAACTGTAACCATTATGACTGCACGGTTATTGACCCAGGTGCAAATAGCCAATGCCCAATTTAAAGCTTCAGTTCTGACAAATGGGTTAGAATAATGAAAACACGATGGGAAATGGTTGGGTGCTTCACTGACTAATTGAACAGGATCCTTGCAATTTGTTCTATGATATATGGTTTTTCACAGCCACAGGTGAGTAACAAATCTATCATGTTTAATATTTCAGAGTTAACTGATGAAACTTCCTGAACTGAAAGGTGACTGTATTTTTCCTTCAGAACAATTTCAGGTAAATGTTAAATTCCCTTTGCACAGTTAGTGTTTTGGGTTTGGTTGGGGGTTTGTTGTTGTTGGTGGTGGTTTTTTTGTTGTTGTTGTCTTTTTTAAATGGGACTGTTCAAAGAACAAAACATTCAAGTTCTGTTTTGAAGCAAAATGTCTTTCTTCATGTATGCTATTAGTGCTATTATTAGTATCTGAGGAAACTAGTTTTAACAAAAAATGAAGGACAGTGCTTTCAGGGCCAATTTTCATTGGCGTTTTTTCTCCCTTTATGTTAACAAAAAATCTAATCTGCATAAAGGTATGATTTGAAAAATATTTCAGAGGGCTTTGGATCAGGTCCTAATGTTACTTCATTCTTCAGAATATGTTCCTTTGTTAGCATTTTCCAAGTACTACTTGTTTAAATCTGGATTTTGAGTACCTTAAAGATTTTTGTTTATCAAAAATCCAGCAGCCATATCTTAATTGGCTAGCATAAAATGCTATTTTATTTTAGTGCCGTTTCTGAGGTATTTTCTGCTCCTAGTTTGTATTTTGCACGCACAGAGGTAGATGCGATGGTCTAATGCCTTCTATTATCTCTGATTTTTATTATCTGAATGATTTTTAATGCAGACATTGGCAACAGTATTTTCCAAGATGTTTAAGTGATTCCCAGTTAAACATTCAGACCCCAAGGAACATGATTTTAATATTGTAATACAGCATGCTAATCTGCTATACTAATGTGTTTAAGTCAACTAATGAATTATGCCTGCTGGACAGGATAGTGTGTTGATAGTATTTGGTATGTTGAGCTTTAAAAAATACAGGAAAAATGTTTCCTTTCAAAAATGTGGGACGGTCGTGATTTTATTGGAAAGTGACATCAATCCAGAAAGTTTAGCTTTAGCAAATGTTTGTAACTAGAATCCTTATTCAAGTTTATAATTTTTTTTTTTTGTGCTTTTCCTATTATTTAAAACTGCATCAGCATTCAGGCTTAAAAAAATCGGTTGCAAAATACATTTCATAATGTTAAAATGCAGTGTCAGAGAAAGCACTGAAATGGGAATTCCCAGCATGGTGTTCTATACTGGCATTTAAAAGACAAATTGATTTTTACAGTGTTCCATTACAAAATTTTGTATAGATGTTATGATTGCAAAGTCAAATAATAAATAGCTGAAAGAAGACAGGGAGAGAGTGACTTTGCATTGCTTTACTTTTGCATTCTTTGTCAATTTACAGTATGATATTATCCATTATTTTTCTGAAGCAGAAATGCAGTGAGGGTTTTTTTTACCACTTCATAGCTTTTCACTGTGAGTGACATTCAGTAGAATGGTTCAAATAATTTATATCACTTAATTTAGATGGGTTTATACTTCTGTGAAGTCGTAAAGTATTTTAAAGATGCTGGAATGTATACGTAAATACCACCCTTAAGGTTTAGATTTATTTTGATAACAGAACAGGTAGGAACATCTTTACTCCAGCAGAAGATGTTTTTATAATCCAGGTGATATTTCCAATTACACTAATTTCAATGTAAAATCGGCAGTTTGTGCATTAGCTCAGCTTTCTTCATACAGTTCCATTACTCGTGTGCTAAACAGTGCAAAGCAGTCAGTATTAGATCTAGATGTAAATGATGGCTTCGTGCTTAAGGGCCAATTGCTAGTAAAATTACCATTGTGGTGAACTATCTTTTTGAGAAGAAAACATAAGCTTATGGTTGCAGTTTGTATCTTAATTCAGCCAATGATGCTTTAACCATTTGAATCAAAAGTCTGAAAAGCTTTAACAAAGATACAAACACTGTGATTTGATTATTTTTCTCATACTGATGGCTTTCTTTGAAATTCATTCATTCGTGGTTTTTTGTGTCCTTTCTGAAAACATATACTTAGGGTAAAAGAACTGGCCAGCTTTAGGCCAATTGCATATTTACGTTGTATTTTCCTTAGAATCATGTGGCTGTGAAAGGCTCCCCAGTCTGTGCTACCAATGTCAAGCTTCTTTGTCAGCAGAGCGAAAAGTCTGTGCTTTCAGATGTCCAGCTCCAACCTCACGCTGAATTGACATATGAAAAAATTGCCTCATGAATGTGATCACTGACAAAATAGCCAAAAATGAGCTGGCTGAGAAACTTCTTAAGAAACTTCTGGAACTTTAGGATGACTTGAACAAACAGTTTTTGGAGATCTTCTATTTGAAATTATTTCAATCAATCAGACACAGCAAAAGGCAAGAGGTAGGGAGCAGAGTAACTCTGTGTTTTCACTGAAGAAGTGAGTGAAATTTTTTTTCCCACTTGGGGAAATTGTTACTCTCATCTTCAGTGAAAACATTATCTCAGGGGACTTAAAGCCACCAGGAATATATGCTTGCTCCTTTTGAGAAGCTACATTTATTTCAATATAAACTGAATAATGTCATCTGGAAATTAAGCCCTTGTTAAATCTTTTTCCATATGCCTGATGCAAACCCAGCTGAAGTGAAATTTAATGATCCATAGGTAGGTCCCATGTGAAACAGCAATACCTATATGATGCTTTCCTTTCTTTCTGGTCAGAAGCAGATGTTACGTGCTTTCTCTGTTATATAAAAGAGCCGAAAGAGAACTTGGAAATTTGCACACGGTGAAGACCTTAATTAAGGAAGTACCATAGCTCGTTCAGCCCATTTGCCATCTATCTCAGAGAACAGACAAATTATGATTAAGATTGTAGGTATTTTCACTGCATGTGGGGATGAATTAAAAGCTCCTGTGATTTTATGTTGTAGGTGACTACTCTAGTCCTGGCCAGACATTTTGCTATTGCAGTGGTGATTTGGCTTTACACACTTACTTAAGGAGAGAATTTGTGTAACAGTTTAGGGTGTCACAGAATGTGAGGGGGTCAGAATTTACAGACCTGCAGATGAATAAATTGTCTCTGCTTCTCAAAACCTTTTATGCAAGAAAAACTACATCCATAAAGTAGCAAGCAATGAACGAATGTTCAAATGAATGGATGTATTGAATGAAGTTCTGCTGAGGTTTGTCTTGCTTCTGGTATAATCCAGTAATATTGATCATGATGTCGATTATACAATGGAGAATACCCTTATAAAATTTCATCATGACATAAAGGGAGGACAGACTGCAGATACGCTGAAGAACATGACTAGAAGTCAAAATGCCCTTAACAAACATGTAAAACAGGCCAAGGTATGTAAGGTGCTATTAAATATAGACAATAGCAGGCAGGATTAATCAACTGTAAAAATATAGTTTGGAAAGCAACTGACTCTGTAGCAAATTGTTTGCAAAAAATGAGTGACTTTGGTGGATTACAAACTAAATGTGAACCAAGAATGTGGTACTTCCATTAATAAAACAAATATCATGCTGGGTTGCATAAACAGGAATATAATCCATGAAACATTAAATAATCCTTCTCCTTTGCTCAGTGTTGGTAAGACCGGTGCTGTAGTGCTGTTAGGCACTCATCACTTCAAGAAAGATGTACTAGAATCTGAAGAAAACCAGTGGAAATTATCAGAGGTTTAGGAAATACACTCTACCAAGGAAAACTGAGCGAGTTGCTTTCCTCATCTGAAGAGGGAGACTTTCTTGTGTTATTCACATAAATACAGCCTACTGACAAAGTGGAAAGGAATTACAATGTTCTATTATCCTTGGTGGAATGCAGAAGAAGTGGTTTATATTCTGACAGGTAAAATTCAGATTAGATACTAGGAAAAAAAATATAAAGATAGTGAAGCCTGGGGAGTTCTTCAGGTATCTTTGATAAAAATCAGTTAAAATGATACAAGAATAATTGAACCTTGCCATGAATGATTCGAATTAATGAAGAGACTTTGTTCTTTCCAGCCTGACTTACTGATGATTTAGTGATTTCCCAAGAGATGTACACATAAATTCAGGAGAAGATGATAAAATAAAGAAGGGTTTGGTAGGGAGTGAGCAGTTCTTGAAAGGCAGTTTGGAGGGAAAAGTAACATAAATGAAAGATTGAGATTCTATAGGAAGTTAAATTTTTTAAAGTCACATAGACATCCTGAACCACTGGACTGGCTCCTATTATGTTGCTCCATTTGGATCTAGGAATGGGTGTATTTCATTCATCTTCCAATAATTTCAGAACCAAGTTTCTTCTGAGCCTTTCCCAGTTCTAAGGAACTGCCCAGCTGCGGCTAATTACACAGCTGTTGCCAATATGAAGGGGTTTGGTAGTTTCAATACCATCAGCAGAAATGAAGTGGTTCCTTTAAAGGGCTAAGTAGGTGAAAACTCAGCTGGATGGGAAGTCAGGTGGTGTAACACAAATGATCTGTGGAAGTGCCTTTTTTACACAGAACACTTCTGGTTTTATTTGCGTAAAAGATGTTAGAGTTTTGATATCTGAAAGTGTTGTAATATGCTTAAAGTGAGAGGTCATGAGAGGTTTTACAGACGTATAAACATACAAATGTTGATTTTTAGTGACTGCTATAAGGTATTATAACTATGCTTTGGGACTCATTACATTAATCAAAGGTTTGGATGAGATTACTTTGATTATGAAAAGGCAGCTTTTGGGGAGGGCTTCTGCAGCACTCTTCCCTGAGTGTCATCTTGGATGCCAGGCCTGCCTGGCCAAAACTGGCACTACTGGCAGATTTCACCTCACAAAAGCGCTTCTTTAACCAAAAAGTGTTAACTTTATTCCTTATTTCTTCTCATGTGTGACATCTACTCAGCATGCCTGTGTGACTAGTTAGGAATAAACCTGTCCAGAGGAGCAGGTCTGCCAGGTAACCTGTCCCAGTGAAGAGCTGTGGGAGTGCAGCTGCTGGTGCTGACATCAGTCTACAACCTACAGATGTCACCTGCACGAAGGTGGCAGTTTGTTTTAATACAGCCATTAATGGTGACAAGGCTGTTTGCAGTGGGCTGCACAGCCCGGTGGATCAGGGGGCGCTGAGGCCTTCAGAGGCCTCGCCCTCAGGGGGCCGTTGGACACGCCTCTCCCAGGTGTTTCTCTGCTCCGTAGTTTCACTCTCTCCAGGACATTTAGTCTGTAAGAACTTGGGCTGTAATCAGTGGCATTGCCCTGGGATAATGAGGACAAAACTAAGGTAAGCAAGAATTTAACTTAAAATTGTTATATATTCACAGACAAATGTATGCTGATACTCTTTTTTTTTTTTTTTCTTCCCCCTCCTCTCTTCAGGACTTCTGATTTAAGTAACTAATCATCATGTCTGACCCCGTTGTTTTGCGTAGCATCAAGAGATTGGGAGAAGATAACTATGCTTTTGACTTGGATGGCAAAAGTAAGAAGTTTATTTTTTCAGTCAGCTCCTTATTTTATAAAGCATGTAAAATAGATGGTGGGTGGCCTAAGTGGAGCAAATAGTCTGCAGAATACAAAGCAAATAGTCTGTGGAATAAATCTAGAGTTATCTGGTATTTGCTGTTATGAGTATGCTGCCTGAAAAACAACTTTTCTGTAAAAACTACATATAACAATCCCTACTCGTGGACAGTCTACTTACCAGCCTACAAGTTCATGGAAACTACCTAGGTTTTTATACTCAGCACTTTGGTGTGCAAGTAAAGGGCCTCTACTGGGGAAAAAAATAAAAAGTTCTGTCTTCAGTAGCTTCTAGAGCTGCTTTCAACAAGCACATTTATCTGTAGTCATACTTATATTGGGCATAATTCTTATAAGCTATCACAATGCGAAGATCTGCATTGCTTCTCCTCATCAGAGCTTTTCCTTTTGTCTTCTGTCTTTCCTTTGCAATGTGCACTTTTCCATTTTGCCAATCCAAATTCTGCAAGGGTCAAGGAGAAACATGAAGAGAAACTGCTAAATATTTTGAGTTCTGTTTGTAAGACTTGAGAAAAGCAGACAAAGAGAGGGGCATTAAACATTTATACTGAATGTAAGGTACAAAGGAAAGCAACATAGCAGATAGCACATAACAGAAGATAAATTGCAATATAATGCAACGTACTTGCTCCTCACATAGAGTAGAAAGGGTTCATAAAAAGATTCCAGCACTCATATAGATTGCCTAAATATACATACATTTTGTATTTTCAAATTCTCTGATAGCTGTGGCCTAATCCTTCAAGTGTTTAAGCTTTCATTAAAAACATTCTCCTAGGACTCAATCAAATGCTTCAGACCACGCATAAAATAGCCTGTCTTCTACACACAGGCCTTATTGGGATTTACGGATGTGGTATTCACTCCCAATTTCACCTGCTTCATCACAAAAATAGGTGCTCTTAGGTCTGCTCTGAACAAAACACAGCTTGAGGAGGAGGGATGCTTTTTATGTTCTGTTGTCTTTTTTTCCCCTTTTAATTCATCAGATGTATTGTTAGAACAATCAAGCTGGATAATGATAAAGACTACGCAGTTTTATTTCACTTGAAATACTTTATGACAGATTACCTCCAGAAAACTGAAGACTCATATCAAAAGACAGTCCCTCTCTCGGAACTATTTTTCACCAACAAAAAGAAATCAAAGCAAACTATACCAGACTTAGTTACAGTGAATTTATTTTCCACTGCCTAGACAAGAGCTCGGGTTTAAGGCAGACCAGCCTCAGCCTCTTTTGTTCCATGGGAACCATACGTTTACCTTTGGTTAAAACTTGTGGCATGCAATAAAATTCTTCACATAACTATGTATGTAATGAAACTTCAGATAATCAAACATTTCAAGACTGGTTTTTAATGACAGCCCTCTTCAAGCCTCTCTCCCTGCTATATACTAGCACAGTGGCCCAGCTATAACTTGATCTGTGATGTTTGTTTTTATTTTTAAAACTTAGTAGTTGTTGATTGATGCTAAATCTGTATTTCAGTCTAGTATCATTAATTGTGTTTGGGTTTGGGGTTTCCTTCCAATCTTTGTCTGTAATAGGATGTCTCATATAACTGTTGGCATAACAGCAGAGTTTGAAGACATTTGGAGTATTCAGCCCAAGCTTGGACTAAACCTTGATTGTGGTTATCTTTGTAGAGAATGATTGATATCTGCAAACATAAAAGCAGCTGTTCTGTTAGAAGACAATGCATGTGCTTTTTTTGGTCTGACATTAGAAACTGAGCAAGAGCTTCACGTGCAGGTGTTACGTTCCCAACTTCTGTCTCTCCATGTTAGCTGAAGAATTCCTTTGGATTTAACCATACTCATCAAATCTCTTTCATGTTGCTGAAAGTCTACTCTCCTAGACTAGATAATCTCCTATTCAACAGATTCAAGGGTCTGGTTTTTGTTGGGAACTTCAAATCCATTGTTACAGCTGGTAAGAAGATAGCGTAGGAAATTATTCACCGAATAACTAGAGTGTGTTCTTAAAATCAGAGCTGGCATACTGGAGTCTGCAGCTGATTTTAAAGCCTGCAACACAGCAGCAGCAACTTCAGCTCCGTGACCGTGAAAGAAACCAATGTGAACGTTTTCTGAAAGTCTGCTCTCTCCCCAGTGTATTGCTGCCACGGCACACGGCTCTGCCTCCTGCTGGAATGAGCAGCCATCTGTGTGCTGAAGGCAAACAGATCTTCCCTCTCCCCTTACAGCTGTGATTTGTTTTGTTTTTAAAACTTCTCATTTAGGCTAGCTGAAGGCAGTTTCAATGCGTGGGGCATTGTGGGCTCTAATATTGGTGGAGAGGGGGGAGGAATGATGGGAAAAGAGAGCGAATTGGTAAAAGGGTATGTCCTTCTACTTCTGGGACAAAAAACTATTTGTTTCTTCCAGCCATTCACTTAGAACTGCTCCCACATTGTCCAGATCTATCTAGCTGGTTTGAGGGGTTGCTTTTTGTCTCTTAGTTTGTCTTATGTACTTGTCACTTTTACTTGCTAGAGGATTTTGGCAAAAGACTTTCAATTGGGACCAAAGCTCTTCCTCTTTTCACACTTGGGGTTTTTTTGGGCCTATCCAAGTGAGTTTGCCTCTGGTTTCTCAGTTTCCTTGGAAATGCACTGTGTTTTCTGCCTAGTGTAGAGAGCAGTTTGTTGAACTGCTAGAGCACCTTTCCCAAAGCAAACATCATTGCTTTAAAACCATACTGGCACTGGCATTCTGCCGATTGATCTCTTCTGCTCTGTCATCTCTAGTGAGGTTTATTTCAATAACTATTTTTTGTACATATTAGTAAGAATTAGCCCTCACTGGATCAACCCTTGAACACCACATCTGTAGGTATAGTTAAGAGCCAGCTTTAGTTGGGAGCCTTTTGAGTACAATTTTTCATTGCTTGATTTCCTCAGGCTTAACTTTTACTATGTTCTCACAATACCAGTAAAAACTCAAATTCTTGGCAATGTTCTTCAGCTTTTCCTTGATTCTGTGTTTTTTTTCAAATTGTAAAATTTCTTAAATAACTTAATTCCTCTTTCAAAATTTTTTGAGCATTCAAAGGTTACTATAGCTCCTTTCTGTAGGGTTAATAAGTTATTTTGTTTTCCCTACCTTCCTTTCTTTTCAATGAAAATCACGCTCTGTCCTCTTTTCCTACTTTTTCAATTTAGCAGTGTGATCTGTTACTCATCTGTTTCCTTCTTTTAAATTAAGCATTAGTAATGTCATTGCAAATTCTCCTCCTGCTTAAAAACTGCTGGCTGACAAAAGTGGGCCCCCAGTTCCTTGTGCTTTTGAATAGCATTGATACACTCTTGTTTCCCTCTTCAAGTTCATAGATTAGGGTTTCTTCATCTTTGAAGAATGCTTATTTTTCACTCTAAATTGATGTGACTCAGAAGGCTATTTCACTAGATTCTTTTGTTCCTCCCCTTTTTCCTCCTAGTAGCCAGTTCCTTCATTTTTTTTTTGCAAAACGCTTTCCGTTACGAGACGGCAGAGGAAACTTTGTTTAAACTTTATTTTTTCCAATAAACCCCAGAGAGTCTTCTAGGAATGGTTTCAAACCATTTCAGCGGTTACCAGCTGTCAAACTTCAAAAAACTGCAACCAGATGTTTCTTTTTCCTTCACAATCAGTTCTTTTCTAACACCAAATGATTCTTTGTAATAATATTTTTAGAAATTAAAACATTCCTGGGATAGACACGTGCCCTTACTGAAAGAAACTTTTCTTTTTTCATCCCTGAGTAATAAACAGAGCAAAATAAAACCAACATAGTCATTGTTAGCTAAAGCTAAATAAAGTTATCTTATTAACCCCTCAAAAGAAATGTAATCAGCTGTTCCTTTAGTCTCAAGCTCAGACCACTTCCATCTAACATTGTTGCCTTGAGAAATGCAAAACCCTGGAGAGAGTGGAATAGCCTTCTACCATTGGGTGGGAAAATGGTGGAAGCCCAATTTGTGGTTGCAGTGACTTCTTTGCACCTTCTGTAAATTGTGATGCAAAGTTCCTCTATGTTTGGTCTGTGAGACAGGCCTATGATTGCTCAGTGTTGTGTCACTAGATGTGAGGGAAGGAAGACTGTGTGAAAAACATACCATGGTTCTGAAACTGATGCTGAGCTGCCCAGTGCACTGTAAATGAGAAAGGTGCATACACCTAGTGCCCTTAGATTATCCAAACTGTGTTGTATACAGAAAAATAGCTCTCTATTAATTGTCATCTCAAGTGATGTACAGTGTATGCTTTCTACATCAGCCCTTACGACAACACTTCTTCCTTGAGGCCCCTGCAAACACAAGTTGTGCTTTAGGTAGTACAACACTTCTTGAAAGGGAGCTAAATCCAGACCTGTTCTGGGGACTAAGGAGTTTCCCTACAGCATGATTATGTCTTGTAGTATAATTCCATCCCTCTAAGCTATGGTTTCTTAGAGACTATCCCGAGAATAGACTTCAGTGTGACAAGTTCATCTTACCATCCAGGGCCACAGCTGCCCGTCTTCCACAGGATTTGCAGTCTCTTAGTTGTTGGAAGGCAGGAGTGAAGAGCTACCGCTCCTCCTTTCAGGGAGCGTGCACGGACTGCAAGTAGAGTGGTATTGCTTGATGAGACAGTGTCCAAGAGAACTAATTGAATACTAGCAAACAGTCTGCAATGAACATGAGTTGACTTTTGGCAATAGTCCTGAATAATGTATTTAGAGAAAAGAATTTTGTCATCTGGGGTATTAAAAACTTGAGACTACTTCTTCAAGAGAAAGCAGGCATAAATTGATATAAATTTCCCGAGGAATTTTTGGACACGTGTCAGTTCATGTCCCTGGCTAGATGTATCAGTGGGAATAAGTTGCTTATAACTCAGGAATGACTAGGTCCCGTGGGCTTCTAGGGTTTGTGTTTCACATGTCTACAGAGGATTATGTACTTTAACAATAATCATTAACTAGACTGTGCATTTATGTTTCCTAACAGGTAACAGCTTCAAGAAATCAGAGTAAGTCATGTACACAAATGGAACAATCAGTATTTCTAGGAATATTCAGGAAAGAAGTTAATGTCACTGGATCAAATTGATGCATTAATTGAATATATGGTATTTAATGAAAAGCTGTTCTGTAGGAGTTTACTGCCTTATTTGATACAGGTAGACCAAAACAGTCCTAGAAATCTTTAAAAACAAAGAGTAATGGCAGAAAACTATGGTTTTTCTTCTGCAAATGTTTTGGATACTCAAATTTATCTTTCTTCTGTGCTTTTAGTTTGAGAAATGATTTTTTTTTTTAAGGAATTTTAATCTTTATTAATTTTTCTTAAAGCTTAACTGTAAGACTTTAAAATAGAAGGAATTAGCTTGCATCATTTGAACTCAGATATTAAGATTTAAGTGTAGAATTCTAGATAGTTAAAAGCTGAAATGACTTAGAGACCTTCAGCTAAAATCTCAGATTTGAATGGGGTAAAGAGCCTCCCTCTTCTAAATCTTGGGACAACTCTGTAGCAAACTGGACATCCTAATGGGGCTATAATTTGTGCCAGCTCTTTCTGACACAGTGTACACAGTCTGAGAACTACTCCTAGAATGAAGAAGGAAGAGCGTCTCTTAATTTTTGTCTTTGTCAGGTTGCCCATCTCAGAGGGCAGCAGCCCAGTAATCAAGATCTGCCATGGTCCTTGCACATATCTTGAAACCCAAGTTCTGTTGGACTTCCTCATGTAACACACATATGGTCCTACCTACTGTACATATGAAGCTTCCTTCAGGCTTTCTAGGATCTGGTTTCTGAAAACTGTTCATGACAAATAAAACTTGAATTAATTTTATTAAAAACAAAATAATCCAAATTCAAAATCCCTACTCATTCACCACTGAATGTATACAGCTGATGATTGCTATTATGTATTATAGTATGGATCCCATCTATAATGGTGCAACTAGTTCTTTATATTTTAACTGACTGTACAGAATAGCAACCCATAATCTGACCACTGAGTGAAAACCTGTGTGGTAGGGTGAGAGATTCTGCTGCTGCTGTGGACATATGTGAACATACAGGCAGTATAAGAGGGAATGGGAACAGGACCTTTCTCTATATTAAAGAAAAGACTAGCCAATGATTTCTCTAATCGACCTCCAAGAACCTACAATTCACATTATAGCAACAGTGTTTTGAGGAATTGTTTATGAAACAAAGCATAAAGATTCAGATCATTTTGACCTAACTTCTGGTTTAGTCCCTGTCTAAAATTGGAAAGAACCATCAAATCTCTGGTTCCAAAGAAATCTGAAGGAAACAGCTGGTCTCTTAAAATTTTGGGCAAAATGTCTCAAATAAAATGTAATTTCAGAGAAGTAACCAAGAGAATAAAAGAATTAATGTAAAATCTTACCTCTTTTGCTAGGAATTTCTATACATATGAAGAACCTTTTATCGAGAAGGAAAGTGAAAAGTGAGTGAAGTTCAATTCCCTCTACTATCTTCGCATATAGAACAGAATATGTACTAAAATGCAAGTTTATAACTTTCTTTTCTGTTCTTGAAGGTCATCAAAGAAGAAAGAAAACAGTATTCGTATTGGCTTCTTTCAGCTGGTAATGAGACCAATGGCTATAAATATTTTATGTGTATTGTGCTGCAGAATAAGTGACAATAATCTATATGGTTGTTTTGGGGAATAGCAGTGACTAAGCCAAACTTTTAAGGATTCAACCATTTGGCATGAAATCCTGCCATTAAAGTCAATGGAAATTTAATAGAACCATTTGTCATTTTGTCAGCTTGGTATTGATTATTGATATTTGTGTCATCATTGTCTAGTAAACATGTTATATTGAACCTACAGGTAGATATGGGGAAAAGAGTAAAGATGCACAGCAGGAATCTAGGTGACCCTGGTTCATTCTAATTTCTGCCTAAAATTTGCTGTGTGATATTTGGCAGATAATTAGCTCCCTTGTAATTTTTCCATGGGAAGATTTGATAACTATAGAAACTTAGTATCCTAGGCACCTAGTATCATGCATTCCTAGGTAGGTCTAGCCTTTGATGGGTCTTGAAATCCCATAGGGTGCACCAAAATTTAAAAATTAATATAGTAGGGAGATGTCCAACCCAGAAGCATGCAGCTAAGACATTTTATTACTTCAGTTTTTCATGTAGTCTAGGCTATAAATCTGTACTGTGTCCAGACTAATATGGTCCTGACTGTAGTACTGGGCTAGTGCAGTTACATCCACGTGGCTTGTACTGTGCCTGGCTAAGTACCTCAGCTCGTAGTTGGGTGAAGAGAATATGCCCACACAGAGGGCTATGTCTGGTCAAGCAGAGGGGTTTTGAATTCTGTAGCCTGTTTTGCACAGATGTTTAAGTCCTAAAGTGCAGTTGGTAAGCATAGTACGTTTGCATCAGATGTGCTGAGAGATTAGATAACATATATTTGTGCATTTTCTGTGAGGGTTTTTTTTTTTTTTTTTTAATTGGGGGAATTCCTAGACTTGTTATGACCAGGGTTTGCTACGGTTTTCTTCACGATACAAGAATACGTGTTTTTTTGTAGAAAGACCTTTTATTTATTTCTCTTTTGTGTTAACTGACTTATTTTTCCCTTTATCTTGCCCCTGCCCTAATATCTCTTTTCCATATGTGCTCCAAATTCCCACTCTTTCTTCTCTTAGACATATTATAGCAACTACAGAACCTGGACAGGTTTTTCAGCTGGCTATGATTTCTCTTTACACTCCTATTTTTAAAATACATAGCATTTGGTACTGATATTCTATGTGGACAGGTTGGTCAATATATTTATGCATGACTTCAACCTGAGAATCAGACTTCACGTAATCATGACAAAAGTAACTTAAGTCACTGTGTCTTAGCCGAGTCAACAGCTGCATGTGTGCTTGCTCTTGGCCCATGGCAAATGTAAGGTAATGGGACTTAGCTTGATCCTTTTGTTACTGCACACTACGTCATATTTCTATGTATTTCTCCCAGATTAAGAGCCAAGGCACAATTGCCTGGATCAGCCAACAGGTTTTAGAATATGAATAATGAGAACTTGATGTGAGACACTTAGCTGCCTTTCTACCACAGTATCCCAGACTTTTGAGAAATTGGCTAACTCTATTCGGAGGCTCTACGTAATGCCCTAAGGCTTTTTTCTCCCTTCCCTCTCCATCCATCCCCAAAGGAAATCTGCAAAGCAGACTATATATATGAATTACAATTATTATTCGTAATCTTTTAGCTAGTTTCTGGAATGATGATAATGTGGAATGATATTGAACTATTAATATTATATGATAATACATTCATTCACATGGTCAGATTCTGCTGTCAACTAAAAGGGAGCTCATAATAACTTATGAGGCTGTAATCACAGGTGCAATTAGATTAGATTGGAGAGAAATATTTGTCTGATGTATGTGTTGCAGCTAATTCTGAAATTTAAAGAATGATTTTGTATGTGATCCACCTGATTAATGATTTGTCAGTATGCGACCAACATGAAGACCTCCTCTCATAGAGACCATATATTTTTCCTGTCTCTTTAGTTCCGATTTTCTTCATCTACGGAAATTTTAATGATGGCTGTTGGTAGTTTCTGTGCTATTGTTCATGGAGCAGCCCAGCCAGCTGTGTTGCTTGTGTTTGGTGCAATGGCAGACACATTTATTGAATATGACATTGAAATGCAAGAGCTTAAAGACCCAAACAAGACATGTGTAAATAACACTATAGTGTGGATTAATGGTACTATTCATCAGAATGAAAAGAATGCCACAATAAGATGTGGGTAAGTAGTAGATGTATTTATCTCTTTTTCTTTGTTATTACGGCTTGTCAGAGAACGTATTGCTAATGAAAGTCCACTTCAGCCTCTAAACCTGACATTTTCTGTCCATGAGGCAGAAAAGGGGCATGGTTCTTGTTCAGAGCTCTGTTTCTAAGCCAGAGATATTACTTGGAGGGACAGAAGGTCAATCTGGGTCTTGGTCTTTCAGCTATAGATGTCAGCAAGGATATTCTTGATGATGATTGTTCTGGTAACAGTTTTATCTGCTACACATCTGAGTTCATTAATCTGTATTCTTTAGTGACACTGTAGGCAATGACTTCTGGTCATTCTGGTTAGGACTTCTGTACTCATAGGTGCCTGCTGACTTCAGAGCAAGTTAGCTAAACTTTAGTCATTGGAGAGAAATGAGCACTTCTAGGATGCAATTTATCTCAGCTTATGGGAGATGTCTAAGGCAGGTAGATGAAATGCCCTATAAGAGTGCCTGTTTCTTTCCATTAACTATAATAAATGGAATCTAGATGATTCATTCAGATACAGATATCTGTCAAAGACAAATTTGAACCTGTAACCTTTTCTAAGGCTTGTTTTTCAGTGCATTATTCTAAGAATTTTCTCATCTCTGAATGACATTTAATTAGGTATTTAATTAGAATTAAAAGTTACTTGTCTAAATGTCTCTGAAATTCAGAGCACGTGGGAAGTGATTTGCATTCCTAGATGTAGATGACCAGGGCCAAATTATTTGCTCCAAGTCCCCTCCGAGATGGGGCTGGCAGACACAACACAGGAATTGCTACAGATCTCTGTTCCTCTGAAGCAGCAGCTATGCACCAGGTAGGATGCATTAGAGCATTAAAAATGGTACTGGATATCTGTGTCAGGCACCTGAGTTGTTTCCATGATTATTTTTTGCAAGACAGCAGGCCAGGTGCATAGTGCTCCCTTTTGGCTTAAAATTTCAGTGTACCAAATTCTGGTGGGTAAACAGAATAAAATTTGCTGTCTGCAGAACATTTTTAAAAAGTTGTCTAAAATCATAACTGATAATGACCTGAAATGCCTATTTCAAAGTAATCTAAATGCAATAGCAGCAACTTAATGCACTTGACTGATATTAGAAATCATTTAAGTCCTACTTGAGCTAAAAGAAATGATCATGTCAGATTAGCGAATTTACGGTACAAAATAATACTTTAATTGACTTTGGCAGCCCTCATTTCTCTGTTTAAAGAGAGTTTAAAGAGTTTCTCATTGTTTAAATCTGAGTGTTATTAGTTGGTATAATAGCACAAAACAAGAGCTGTTTCTCAGAGACTTCAGGGTTGCTCCAGGATGGCAGAGCATTTCCTGGTACCTGCCCGTGCCCTGCCCCTGTGCCACAGGCAGAGCAAGCAAACCAGCCACTGCTAGCAAGAGCCTTAGTATTGGGAAACAACGCCTCTGTTAGCAAAACAAGCTGACTTGCCAGCTCACGTGACTCTAACTTGAAGAAACACCAGATTAAAAATCTTAAAACAGTATTCCTAACTTTTTTTTTTTTTTTTTTCCCCCCAGGCTGCTGGACATTGAACAAGAAATGACCAAGTTTGCAGCTTACTATGGAGGAATTGGTTGTGCCGTCTTTTTGTTAGGATACCTCCAAGTCAGTATTTTTTTCCCCATTTTGTTTTAAAAGTTTAAATCACTAAATAATTAAGTTTATAAGAATTATGCTCCCTTTAACTACTTAGTCAGCTGTCCATTTGAGCAGAGCAGACACTTTCCATTCTCATTCTATTGGCTGAAATAGGTTAGCTCTGGCAATCTGAGACCTCCTTGGATTTATGCATGCATACCTTTGTACAAGGATGCATTTTACCCAGTGAGATGAATGCATGCTGCTCCTTTCACACCACAAGAAATACTTGTTTAATTGTACACGTGCCCTCCCAAAATAATAGCTGAAGGGCATGCAGATTTCCAGTAGGCATCTCAACTACATTGAGCCCTGTGTTTCTATTGTAGAAGTATTACAGACTACTACTAGTGTAAAACTAGTGTTCAAGAGGAACCATACCCTACATATTCTGTAGCAGTGGTTCAATCCTTACGACAAGTTTGGATGATTCCTGCATAATCTGCTGAAGGGTCCACTTCTTTTGAAACTTTTTATAATTGGAAAAATCACTTGTTCACCTTCCTAAAAACTGTCCCAAAATTTTGCTGAGGTAGGATGGCTGCCATCCCTATATGACTTACAGCTGTAGATAGAAAATTTTTTGTCTGTGTGACATTCATGTAACAGCACAAGGAATTTAACTTGCATCTCTTCCCAGCCTATCAGAACTGAGACAAATGTTTCATCCAGAGGCTTTATAAAATTGTTGGATTGTTTAAAGAACAAAGGCATAAAACAACTATCATGTTTGCATAGCTAGAATGTATTTTACCTGAATATTAATTTTATCAATAGCCAAATTGCTTTTTCCCATTTGTTGGGAGTAGAAAGACTTTACTGTAATCTATAAACCACATTATGCTCTTCCTAGATCTGCTTTTGGGTTATGGCTGCAGCTCGTCAGATACAGAAAATCAGGAAAGCTTATTTCAGGAAAGTAATGCGAATGGATATAGGCTGGTTTGACTGTACATCTGTAGGAGAACTGAACACCCGAATTTCTGAGTAAGTAATCGAGAAAAAACGTGCTACAGAGAATATTTTCCCCTTTTTTTTCCAAACACAAGAGAGTGCCAATAACTAGGCATTTGGCAAACACCTTTCTAATATAAAATACAGCTATGTTCCTGGGAGCAGCGACAAGGCTGATTATCTCCCCCATCTTTGAACTGAGTGCCATAACTGTTAAGCCACAATTATTTCCCTTGTCTATCAGTAAATGCGAGGGGGGGGTGTTTGCCAGGTTTTGGAGTAGAGTCTTTTTGCCAGCTTGTCCTATCCTTCCCTTCTCCTCCTGTGCCCAGTCCTTTCACAGTAATCTATAATTTGGCTGCCGCTGCACACTCCCCTGAGGCTGGAGATGTGGGTTTGAACCCTTTCTCACTTCCCAGAAAGGAAGATTATATTAGGGGCAGAGTTTGCTTTTGTTGGCTTTTGAAAGAGAAGAGTGAGCCTTGCTTAATCTTCTGCTAAGGAAGGTACAAGCACCTACCTTTAGAAAGGGACCCAAGGTAGATGGAGAAACCTTCTTATCCTGGGTAAACATTTAGCCCTGACGGAGTTTAAGGCTCGCTCCTTTCCTCAGTGGTTCCTGTTTACAGGCTGAAGGCAGCAGTGAGGTGGATACGCTGACTCTAGATGGCTCCCTGTTCTCAGTCGCGCCTGTGTAATAGTAGTCACATCTGCAGATGATTTTTCTGTAGTTGAAGGGGATTTTATTTGCCTTTTCTCACTACCCAGTGCTATCTATGACTTTGTGTGGTGTTCTTTTTATGAAGAATAAATGCCAAGTGTAAGTTGCTGTGAAGAATTTCTCTGGCAAAAAGCAGGAACTGAGTATGTATTTCTCTAACAAATAACACATAGTTCCCTGTTTTTTCAAACAACGTTGTCCTGTGCCTACAAAAAGCTTCCTGATTGCGAAAAACATACTCCAGAAGAAATATAAATATGTTCTTCAACTCGACACTTCTAAATTTTTTCAATAGAGGACTGTAATTTCACTTGATAGGTCAATGAGCTAACAACTTTGCACTTTAAATCTCAACACCACTTGCTCCTATTTATTCTAGTTCTTCTGATCTCAGGGGTGATGCAGTAGCCAAGAGTGACAGAAGTATAAGGACTGTTTTGCTTTAAGATATTTTTTTCTGTGTTGGCAATGCATAAGGGAGAGCAAACAGACTCTGCAGCTGCCTGGGGGTCCAATGATGATAACTACTGCACCACTGTCCCACGGGTGATAGAGCTGTCATGTTTTCCCTCTGTCTCTGGCAATAGAGAAGGCCTCCTCAATTTTCGCACTCTCCCATTTAGAGAGCAAACTACCTGAAAGGGTGGAGAGAGGAACCAGGAGGTGGGGGAAGGTAGAACTAATACACTTACAGACCTCTTACCTTTCCCTGCCCCCTCAGCAAGACTGTGTGGTACATTTTCAGTGCCCCATGATGGCAAGGGTGCTGTGTCAGCTATACCATTTTTCCATTATCGGATAGTTGTTGCCCCTTCTGGGAATAAGCTGGGGGCACAGTAGTAAGAACCATATAGTGAATGAACCTGTTGGCAGGACAACTTTTCCTGGTAAAAGACAGTACCTTTTCCACAGTATCAATCCATAAAAGCCTTCTGCCATTGCAAAAGCACCAGCTTTTCTCACTGTAGCCCAGGATTTTTGGAAGGCATGATGGTGGAAAGAATAGGGGTGAGGAAGGGCCCCCTGCAAGGGAAAGTAACTAACCCAACTGTGGCCAAGACCTGGGACATAAATGAAAGATATGCTTACCAATCTTCTGTTGGTTTCTATTGGTTTTTTTTCTCTTTTTTTTTTTCTTTTTCCCCAGTGATGTTAACAAAATTAATGAGGCTATTGCTGACCAAGTAGCAATCTTTATCCAGCGCATAACCACCTTTGTGTGTGGATTCCTACTGGGCTTTGTCAGTGGGTGGAAATTGACCTTGGTTATCATTGCAGTCAGCCCTCTGCTGGGGGTTGGAGCAGCCATCTATGGCTTGGTAAGTGAATTGTGAGAGGTCTGTGTTGAAGTATGATGAGGAAGGCCATGCCATAGAGCTGGGAAGACCGGTGGAAGAGAAGGCTATTACACTCTTTTGAAGTCAAGAGAGGCAGGTTATGGTCACAGCAGCACGGGGAGTCGGGGAATGGAGAGCTGGGCTTTGCTCCTGCTTTGCTTATTCTGATTGCTGGAATGATATATCCTGCTTCTAAGATGGGAGTGTAAGCATACCTTCTATGGGCCCTGTAGATGGATATTATGGTTGCCAAGATCAGACCCTGGCCTACATCTTCTCTGTATTACACACCTGGTTTAGATGGTTACTACACATGGGGCTTGATTTCTCTATGTAGATTAGGGACTTTTAGGGATGATTAAGTTTCAGAGCTGTAAAATAGTTGAAAACAAATGCTCAAACTTACCTCAAGCTGTCCCTGCTCCTGGCAGCTGCTGCGTCCTCTCCCAGTTGTTCCTGTTCTGCTTCTCCATCTGCTCCCTACAAACTCCCTGTCACTCTGCAGAGGAAGGACAGTGAAGAGGGAAAAACTGCAGGATCATTTGCCCTCTTACCTCCTCTCCTACACCCAGCAGGGCTGGGCAGTTCCTGCTCCTCCTCTGAACTCTCTCACACTCTGTTCTTTGGGTGGGTTCAGCCCTTTGGCTATCTCACTTCTTCCACGTCATGAACAGTTTGCTGTCATTTTGCTGTCAAACCTCTGATGTAACTCTGACTAATTTCTTGTCTTCCTGCCCTCCTTTAGCACCTTGCACTGGCTGCAAGTAGATGGCATGGATAATGACTCAGTGTGAAGTGGGAGAGTAGAATCCTGGCAGGGAATGAAATAAACCCCAAAATGTCTCTTCCCTTCATTTGCAAGTTCTTTCTGAGCTCATTCCCCTGTATGCTTGTCATTCCCCCTCTCTCCATTCTTATTTCTCTGTTCCCATCTCTTTTCTTTCACATATCCACTGTTAATTGCTTCCTACTTACAAGCCTTTCCTGCCCAAGTCTTTGCTTTTTACAATAAACAAAACAGATCCAAGGTCAATCTAGCATGGTTTCCTGTCTCCAAAAGTGGCTAACAGATGCCTCGGGCAGGGTATTGCAAGAGAGAAAGAAAATAATCACATTACAATTTCTAGTAATATGTCATTCCCAACCCAATGTGTTATCTTTTTGTAGAATAGTACGTGACTACATTTTTTTCCATTAATTTAAACATTTTTTTAGCCCAAGTAAGCTTTTGCAATCCAGCGTGCTGTGGGCTGCTGTCCAGGGACCTGTTTGCTGTCAGCCCAAGAAACAAAGAAAGCACAGTGGTGGCCACATCTGTTTCTGTCCTGCCCCATCAGGACCATTACCTCTTCTTCCCGAAGCTGGGCTCTGCCATGGCGGCTAAAGGGCTGCTCTTGCTGCTTAAGCTCCCCCTTCCTCCCACCATACACAAACCCTCAGTCTGCTTAATCACAGTTAGCAGCAGAGAGGGAGGGAGGGAGGGAAAGCAGATGCTGTCAGCTGCTCTTTTGAGCTACCTGGAGCACAGCTGTTGGCCCAGGGGATAACCGTTCTGCAAAACATGTGCTACAGAGGTATTCGTCCTAATACTAGAAGACAGAAGTCTTTGAGTGTGCAGTGTGCCTAATAAAAGCCTGCTCAGAGCAGAGGAGGTGACCTCATGCAGAGGTCATGACAGCCAGCACTGCTTACTGCTGTTCTTGTCTGCACCTACTGTTCAGGTGTAACCAGCACTTCTCATGCTTTTGTAGGCTGTGGCAAAACTGACAGGCCGGGAATTAAAGGCTTATGCAAAAGCTGGAGCCGTGGCCGATGAAGTGCTCTCATCCATCAGAACAGTGGCTGCTTTTGGTGGGGAGAAGAAAGAAGTTGAAAGGTTTGTTTGGACAAATTGTAAGGCCTCCATTTTCTTTTTTTCCTGTAGCAGTGAAATGCTGTAATGCACTTCAGAGTTATGCCAGTTGGTCTCTAAATTCTACAGCAATGTCCATCTGTCAGCTTTGAGAACTATATCCATGTATGTTACAGAAATTTAGGTTTCAAATAACATGACATATGCAAAACCAGTTTCATAATTCGGTTAATCAGTGAAATAAAATATCGGTAATACTATCTTGAAGTCATTTCAACTTGTAGGAACATAGTGTCATATTTTCCTCCAAACATTGTTTGATATATCACATTTGCAGCACATCTGAAAACTTTGGATACTTTCAAGTAAGAGAACTAGTTCCAACAAGACAATGATTTTATGATGTTAAGCTGCAAATTTCTCTTAAATTTATTTAAACCATAACATGGCTCTAGGACGTGCTCTGAAGCATGTCTCAAATCCTGTGTCAGACTGCTAAAACCCCAAACCCCATGGTGAGGTATCTGGAGTGAGTGTGACTTTTCTTGTGCTTATTACTCTAGAACCCAGAAGGATTTCATCATCTGGGAGCATTACTGGTTTAAGCAGTGGTCTCTCACTTCAGAGTGAGAGGTATCCACCTTATGTGGACCCTCTGTAAATTGTAGCATGGCCAGTCATTGAAGACGCCTCATTTTGTTGGTCTTTGCTCTTTTTGAATTTTCTATGAAATTAATTTCATCCCCTTTTATTTTTTCTCTCTTTCTACAGATATGATAAGAATTTGGTGTTTGCTCAGCGCTGGGGAATTCGAAAAGGAGTAATAATGGGATTATTCACTGGTTACATGTGGCTCATAATTTTCCTGTGCTATGCATTAGCCTTTTGGTATGGCTCTAAACTTGTCCTTGAAGAAGAAGAGTATTCACCTGGCACTCTCCTGCAGGTACCCATTTTAGCTTGATGCAACTATTCTGGACTGTTTCTTAAAGTATTGATTCTGGAACACATATTTGTAGTGTTCTGATATCTGGTGGCTCAGTGGTAACAAACACTGTATGTGTCTTTTAAAGATCATTACTCAGTATGTGTATGAAAATATATGGCACAATTGGATAAGAATAAAAAAAAATCTATGTTTATTTTAAATATTTGAAATGCTGCCTACTGAGATCAGAATAATGCTTTCATTTGAGAGCCTGCTACACAACTGGCAGAGGCCTGAAACTAACTCTCATTTTATGGGTCAGCATGTGGCTTCTGGCTTCTCTGAAGATCTTACTTGGTGATGGAAAAGCTCATTATGGTAAAGAGAATTCTGACCAAAGAAAGTTTTATCAAATCTAACCTCTCCCTCTTGAACAGCTTCTATCCTTTGAAGCACCATTTTCTGTTGCTAATTGCACCAGCCCTATAGATGACCAAGTACCTGTAAACACAGATGTTGATAAACAGCCACATGGCTGTGGCTCCTGCATTGTAGGTAAAACCTTACTAACATGCATGGCATTCATGCATCCACTTCTGCAGAGTAGATGCTTTAGACACTGATGACATAAATGCAATAAAAAGAACATCTACAGATATTTTGGTTATTTGCTTTAAGCCAGGACTGCCCAAATGGCAAGCTCCAATCTAGACCACAGGTAAATTTTTCCTGAATGTTAATAAGTCCTGGGTGTTCTGATGAGACATCTATTTCTGATCTTTCTCTGGCTGTTGCACTCCATGAGAGCTCCCAACCACCAGCAGCTTGTAGTGCAAAACTTCCTGTTAAATGGAGCTTGGTAAATTACTCTGAGAACATTGTAAAATTGAGTCATCCTGTTCAAGGAGGATGTCCCTCACAGGAAATCATTTGCAACTGCCCTTCGCACCAGTAGTTGGTACAAAGTAATGCTGTGAAAAACAAAATGAGGACAATTTCTTTGCCTTGCACATGGTAACTATAGCTCAGTGCTTCCAAATGGCAAATGGTGGGCTCTACCCTGTGGCTGAAAAATTGTAGCTGTCAGTGGAGAGACTCTCCCTCACGCTCCCCTTCTTCTCTCAGTTTCCAGTCAACTTTCTTGTACTTCACGTTCTCTACCATACACTTTTGGTCTAGCAGGGGGGAGGAAGGGTTTGTAGATACAAAAACATTTAAATATGTTTTTTGTGGTCTTTGAAGAACTGTTGTGCACCAGCCATATTGCATTGAGATACACTAGGCGTTGCCTTCCCTTCTTCTAACAAATGTACAGAACCTGCTCCCTCATGTTCATGATGGATTCTGGCTTGTATATAACCTAATTGCTTTGGGACTCATTCACACAAGAAAAGTAGTTTGTAGTAAAGCTGAGTATGAACTTATGGCATGATCCAAACATCACAGTGTAGATGTTTGTGGTGCACAGTATGTATACAGTAGATTCTTCCCCTTTAGCCATGGTACTTTTCTCAGTGAACATCACTATAGTGCAAGGGAAAGCTGAGTCCTGTGTACTTTTATCTCTTTCTCAACAGTAGTGTTTTCTTATACACCTTGCCCATTTATCCTGGCTGCTGTTTGTATTGTATCCAAAAGGCTAGCTGAGTCCTTGATTGCTTCTTAGCTGAGTTCTCAGGTATTGCCAAACTACAACAAAGGATTACATACCAGTTCTCCCAGTGCTCAGGGTGAATGTGCAAACTATCAGCCACAATAAAGCAAAAAATGGACTAAAAGCTGACACCAAAGATGTTATCCAAATCTTTATAAACTGCTCTGCCAAACAACCTCTATAACTGAAAAACTAAGGAGGAATAAAGCAGAGTAGATTCTAGGAAAAAACTTGTTCATTCTGACAGGCACACCCTGGTATATTAGCATTGAGAAGAATAAGCTGTACTTACAGTGCAATGCCGCTTACTCCTTGTTGTAAAAACAGACCACATTTCATATGTGTGGTGTTTCGGTGGCACGTCAGTAAATTTACCTCAGTAAATACCTGGGTGCACACGTTTTTAGGTCAGGGCAAATATGAGATAAGTTGATTTACGTCAGCCTGGAAGCAAAGTTGTGAAAGACGGTGAAAATTCTTTCTAAGATGTATTTGTTTGCTTTCTTGTGGGCTAATTATGCTCATATAGTGAATCACTGCAGCTCAGCTGATCCACAAGAAGCCATTAAGCCACTGTAGTTTGATTTGCCTAAGCTCTAAACTGTAATAAAAGTGTGATGTCATATTTTGTTAATTTCTTTTTCCACTTCTTCAGGTTTTCTTTGGTGTTTTAGTAGGAGCTTTAAATCTCGGCCAGGCATCTCCGTGTCTGGAAGCCTTTGCCACTGGCCGTGGGGCTGCAGCAAACATTTTTGAGACAATAGATAAAGTAAGTAATGGATTTCTAAGATGTGTCACTTTGTAGTGGAAAAATAATTAAATAAGCCTCAAGAGGTAGTCGTTTTATCTACTGTGTAAATGAGGAAAAATGAGTGCAATTAAAGAAAAATTGACTGTGCAATAGAAAAGTCTAGTGGTGTGTGCATGGGCTCAGAGAGGATGTTAAATAGATTTCTTAAGTGGCCTTTTTCTGAATAATGAAATTTTACTTCAGCTACTGCTGTTTCTTACTCTCATTTCTCCTCATGTATAATTACTCATCAGTGCTGGCCCACGGAAAGTGTACAGGGAGGAAGTAATAGTCACCTTGCAGCCAAACTTGAAGTAAGCATTTAGCTCCCAGCCTCCAGATGGCACCAAAAGATGTGGTTCCCTTGGCATTAGTGGCAAAAGTGGCCCCCGTCACCTCTCCCAGAGATACTCCGAGTTAAAATGAGACCAAATGAGCACAGCCACTGGTCACACGGTAGTCATAAATGTTACTCACGATATTATCCAGACAGATAGATATTTGAAATAAGAGAAAATAAGATATTTGAAATAAGAGAAAGTCTGAGGGCCACTGGCATTTATTGATGAGAATTCCTTTCTATATCTGGATAAACTTAGTGGTTGGCCAAATACCGCTGATTTCTTAGCAGTATCTAGTATTGCTGGTCAAATTTTATTCTGCTAAAAGCTGTGTAAACACATTAAAATGCTGGTTGTCTTTTCCAGATTACATGAGGGTATATAAAGAAGGCTGGAGGGGCTGTGGTAATGCTAATGGACTTTTTAGTAACCCTTCAATGTTCTATAATAACAATGACACATATGCCTTATAAATGCACTTCATAAGCTGTAGTTCTAAAATAAACTGAAAAACAGATGAATAAGGGAAGTGTTTTTTAGAGAAAAATTTAAAAGCATAGAAGACTTGCAACAGTAAGAATTAATCACAAAATTCAAGATAAGGCTGAGTCAGATAACCTTAGGGTAAAAAAAAAGCAAACTGAAGTGAGATTTCATCTGTCTAGAGAAAGAGTGACAAAATTAGATCCATCTGCTTGCTGCATTTCTAGATTTATGATTAGACAGTAAAAGCAGAGCTCTGCCCTGTTAGAAATTTTTTTTTCTGGCACTAAACTTATAGCCATGCTGAGCTTTCCATTTGCAGGATCAGTGAAACTTCTCTTCATAGCTTGGTATCTGAATTTAAGCATGATATATGCCTAAAGAGGAACCAATCTTTTTGCTGTTCTTAACATCTTAGAACATACACATTTCTCGTATTAAAACTCCCTTCGGTGTGTTAGGCTACATAAAAAATCATGCACATTTTGATTATCAAACACTGATATTGCTATAGTTTAATTCATTCTCTGTATTCCACACTTCAAAATCTATCCTTAGAAAATTTTATTTCTTTGGAATTCTTCAAATTTATCTTAGTTCTCTGCTCACACGTAACAGTCCACAGTACCCCGGCCTGGCCAAATGTATGTAAGACCCGAAGAACTTAATGGGAAAATTTCAAATTGGGATTCCAGCTCTTAGGACTGGGCGTGCAAGGATGGATGTTTTAAATCCAAAGTGGTAAAACGTGCCGATTTACAGCAATTAATTGATTTTTCAGTGCTGTAGGGGAATATTTATATGAGGGAAGTAGTGCCATTTTACTCCTGAGAAGCTGGATAAATTCACTGAGTCAAAATGCTTCACTCAGTCAGTTGTTCTGTTCAGCAAAAAGAAGCTGAGTGGTTGTGGTAACTGCAGTAAGCATCAAATGAGAAGAAGGTGCATTCACCTTGCGTGTACCACCCACCAGTGACAGCTCCCCTGTCACTGTGGCCTTCAGTTTCATGCCCCTTGCCTGCTAGCCCTGGGGCAGAGCCTGCTGCTGGCTCAGTGCAGCCAACTGCTGTTCAAACAGAAGTGCCAGGGGTTTGTCTGATAATGGGAATATTTATCTACTGTAGCAGTGTTGGCTGTTTAACAGCAAGTAAATAACACAATAAATTCTATCCTAGAAACCCGTCATTGACTGCATGTCAGAAGATGGCTACAAGCTGGATAAAGTACGAGGTGAAATTGAATTTCACAATGTAACATTCCATTATCCCTCCAGACCAGATGTAAAGGTAATTATTCCTCACACAATTTCTGTAAACAATCAAAATATCCTGGTTCTGCCAGCAATTCTGGATTTTCAGTAGAGTTGGTTTTTCAGAATCCAGACCTTCTGTTTAAAGGTAGACTAAGTAATTCTATTAAGGGGTTCTTCTACTTACCATTCTGTTTATTTTACCATTCTGATATATCCATTGCCATACATATTCTTTGCTGCTGAACACAGACTCATAGTAATTTCAGACAAATTCACCTGCATACAGCTTCAATCAATTATTTACTTGTATCAACATGTGCTAGGATAGGACACAAAGTAGTAAGATGAATCGTGCAAGGAAGATTTTATAAAACTCTTCCATTACCCTGGGGGTATGTCATGTGACCCATTAAAATGCTAAGAAAAGGTACAGGAGCATTGGCTGTATTATTGCTCTACTACTGTGTTTGAATTCACAAATTCTCCTTGGAAAAGCAAATTATTGTACAAGCAAATGCGTGCTACTGCTTCTAAAGACAGAAACATAGGAAGTATCAGATTTTTCTACATAATTTCACTGTTACATTCTTAATATTTATGCTTTAAAAGGCATTCATCATACATGTGCAGTATTCTTTAAAGTGGATTTATTACCAAGTTCTCCAATGGTATTCACTTGACTAGTTCTTAATGATGAACAACAGGAATAAACAGATCAAAATCTGCCTGCCTGACATGGAAAAGAGTGCGCTGCATTTATAAACTTTTCAAACAATGCAAAAATATTTGGCTTTCTTTTTTCTCCTCCCTCATAATATTTGTTCTTAATTTTGTGAATCTCCATTTTAAGACAAAGAATATACTCGCTTTGTTGTACCACTGTGAGGGAATTAGAATGGATGGGTTCTGTTTCTTTTTTTTTTTTTTCCTCTCCAGATTTTGGATAACCTTAATATGGTTATTAAAGCAGGGGAGACAACAGCTTTTGTTGGAGCTAGTGGAGCTGGAAAAAGTACAACAATACAGCTAATCCAGCGTTTCTATGACCCCACTGATGGCATGGTAAGTGTACTGGTCTAGAATGTGTTTCTCTTGTCCTGGGGACTTGAAAGGATGACATGGTTTCTTCTCCAATGTGGGAAGGAAGATTCCTAACTTGTTTTATTTTTTAAATAAGCAAAATATCCTCTTGTATATTTCAGGGGAATGTTAAACTGTCTTATAAGAAATAATTACATGAAAGAGAAAAACTGTTAGGAGAAAATAAAGATTCAGTGCTGAATCTGGGGGAAAGCTATACCTGTAGATACAATAATTTAGGAGTGAGAAATCATTTTACATTCTGGAAAACACAGTATTGAACGCGTAATCATTATCCCATAACATAGCTTTAGCATATGCAGTTACCATTTAGTAATGGATTGGCTAAGAATGGGAATTACATCTATTAACAGTCTCATTCCATTTACGTGTTCCCAGTTGGCACAAATCATATATATAGTGACATGTATTTGAATGTATAAAAGACAACGAACCAATTTATTGTGAACATATAATCGTAATTTTGATGATTACTTTCCACCTGGTTTTATTTCTGAGGCCAAGCAAAAAGAAATATTGGGAGATGAAATAAAAGAGCACAACTTCTAGGCCCAAGAACTAGCATATACTACTGCTACTGCATTGCATATTTTATGTATGAAAGCTGATTTTTTGCACTGGTCATGGAAACACAGCATCACAGGCCTTTCATTTCCATTCTGTCTTTGTCTCTGAACTGGAGGGGACAATGGCCCTCACTTTTTTCCTTTTTTTTTTAATTTTTGTGTGTCTGTGTTTTAAATGGCTTCTATAGATTACCCTGGATGGCCATGACATTCGTTCCCTTAATATCCAGTGGCTACGCTCACAGATTGGCATTGTTGAACAAGAGCCAGTGCTGTTTGCCACCACGATTGCAGAGAACATCCGCTATGGTCGGGATGAGGCTACCATGGAAGACATAATCAAAGCAGCCAAACAAGCCAATGCTTACAATTTCATCATGGACTTGCCACAGGTACGCTGTGCCTCGTAAAATGTTTGTCAGAATTTGATGGAAAAATAGAGAATCCTTTTGTCCCGTCCCCTGTGCAGCCATTTGTGCTCAGGTGGAAGTGCAGATTAATACAGATAGCAGGCAGCAACCTATCCTTTGACTAGAGTTAATTAGGTCTTACTATGTGTATGCCACCAAGTTATAAAAACCCGAACAAACACACACAAAATGAGAAGAGTTAGCTCCTTAGGAATCATATGCACAATGTTCAATATCGTGGTAATAATCATATCATGATTTTAAAATAAAGTGTTTTTCATGCTATGGAGATCTGTTTCTGCTCAGGCCAAAAGCAATTTAGATGCTAGATTCTTACTGGCCAGCATGTTTTTGAGCAGTCTGTACCGATCCTTACAACCTCATCTACTTGAATGAGCTCTGTAACTTAGCTGGAGGTTCCCTTTTCCCTGGTTCCTTCCCTTATCATGACAGGGCTTGGCTCAGTCCGATGGGATCCTCCTTACTAAGCCCATATTTGATAGTACTGGGCCACTGGGCTGTTTATTTTTCTAGAGTGTTATTTTGCCAAGTAGCTTCTCAAAGGGACATGTTATAACAGTGAACCTGACTGACAGGATTCAAGTACCATTAATTAATGTCAGTATGTACTTTTTACCCTCCATCTATGCACTTCCAGGCCTCCAGGAAACTATTCATAGAATGACTATGTAAAAGTCCCTGTTTATTTCCTGGAAATGGAGGAATAAACAAGGTTTGGGTCCAGGTGAATATAATTATCCTGGGTCTTGAGATCTAGGCATTATGTGTTTATTTGATTCTCTACCTGAACCCGATGCCACCAGAGTATGATGTCCATGAATCACAGACACAAGTGTTCATGAGTCACAGGCCATCAGCAGACAAGTCCAGCTCTATGGAAAGTTTGCTGGTGAGTCACCTGATGGAGAGTGGGCAGCTTTTGCTGATATAGTTGTTTTGAGCCAAACCAGTACATTTCATCTTTTTATCAGTACATACTTTTGGCTTGGGGTTGGAACCCCAGTTAAGGAAAAATTACGTTGTTCGTTTTGAAGGAAATTATTTCATCGGCTCTCTCTTTGAATCTGATGCACTAACAATGTTTTAGTCTTTCAAAGACAGGAATTTTTTAAGTCTACTCCCAGGACAAATCTCTTTGAAGGAAATTATTTCATCGGCTCTCTCTTTGAATCTGATGCACTAACAATGTTTTTCAAAGACAGTAAATTTTTAAGTCTACTCCCAGGACAAATCTGAGAGACTTTCTACCAATGTCTTCACCGGAAGCTTAATGGACTCTTTTGTTATCTATTGTATTTTCATTTTTTCCTTCACACAGCAATTTGATACTCATGTTGGAGAGGGTGGAAGCCAGATGAGTGGAGGTCAAAAACAGAGGATAGCTATTGCTCGAGCTCTTGTGAGAAACCCGAAAATCCTGCTACTGGATATGGCTACGTCAGCACTTGATAATGAAAGTGAAGCTATTGTCCAAGAAGCACTTCATAAGGTTTGCTATAGCATAGCATAAATCAGACTTTTAAAAGCAGAAATTATTTTTAATGCGCTCTGTAGGGGCTGCTGCTGAGTTGCAACAAAGCAGTGAGAAGCTTTTCTTAATAGCTGTTTCATAGGCAAAAATAGAATCTTATTGTTACTGACAGAAAATATCTTTTTCTTACTTTGGGACATTAATAGAAATCTGCAGCTCCCTTTGCTCACAAACAGATGCTCATCTATAGGCTATGGATGGAGTTCAAGTCAAAGTCAGCTGAAACCACTAGAAAGAGTCCTATTGATTTGACCAAACTTTAGATTTCACGGTGCTGGTTCCAAGCCTTTCTGTTTGCTGTTCTGTGACCGGGGCTGTTGTTGTTCCCCGCCAGGCCCGCCTTGGCCGCACAGCCATCTCCATAGCTCACCGCCTGTCAGCCATCAAAGCTGCCGACGTCATCGTTGGGTTTGAGCATGGGAAGGCTGTGGAGAGAGGAACGCATGAAGAACTCTTGAAGAGGGAAGGGGTTTATTTCATGTTGGTGACCTTGCAAAGCACAGGAGATGCAGCAGTTAATAAAGAAGCAACGGAAAGTAAGTTTTTTTTTTCTTTTAGAAAATGATGTAGAATTCCACAGAACGCAGATTATTTTTTTAAAAGAGGGCTAGTTGCTTCTGTTTTTTTTTTTTTTCTTCCACCCTTATGGCTGAATTTTAGCATTCATAGTAGTAGTACATTAATAGCTCTGGCAAAGTGTTTTTACTGCCTATGCACTGAATAACCTTCCTAATATAGATCTGCCCTGAAACATTAGTTCTGACCTGCAGTACCTGTCATTTTATAGCTCCATTTAGTGCTGACAGTCAAGTCCTGCTTCATTTGAAATGCGAGCAAATTACAGAATATGCTGAAACCACCCTATTTATTTTACTAGAGGCAGATTTGAATCAAAGCTTCTGGAAAAGGAGGTCTAATTGAATGATCTGTTGTATTTTTCTGAAGCATCATACCTTGGTCATATCCAGAGGGCAGTTTTCAACAGCTCAATGTCCAGGTGGAGACTGGTGACGAGTGGTGTCCCTTGTCAGTACTGTTTAATATCTTCATGAATGACCTAGACAATGGGATTGAGCACACTCTCAGCAAGTTTGCAGACAACAAGAAGCTGAGTGGTGCAGTAGACACACCTGAGGGATGGGATGCCATCCAGAGGGATCTGGATGAGCTTGAGAAGTGGGTTCCTGTGAACCTCATGACGTTCAACAGGGCCAAGTGCAGGGTCTGTGCCTGGGTAGGAGCAACCCCCAGCATCAATACAGGCTGGGGGATGAAGGGACTGAGAGCAGCCCTGCCAAGAAAGGCTTGGGGGTACTCATGGATGAAAAGCTGGACATGAGCTGACTGTGTTCTTGCAGCCCAGAAAGCTAACTGTATCCTGGGCTGCATCAAAAGAAGCATGGCCAGCAGGTTGAGGGAGGTGATTCTGCCCCTCTATTCCACTCTGATGAGACCCCACCTGGAGTCCTATGTCCAGCACTGGAGTCCTCAGCACAGGAAAGACATGGACCTGTTGGAGTGGGTCCAGAGGAGGCCACAGAAATGATGACAGGGATAGAGCACCTTTCCTATGAAGACAGGCTGAGAGAGTGGGGGTTGTTCAGCCTGGAGAAGAGAAGGCTCCCAGGGGACCTTATGTGGCCTTTCAGTACTTAATGGGGGCCTACAGAAAAGATGCGGACAAACTTTTTAACAGGGTTTGTTGTCATAGGACAAGGGGTAATGCTTTTAAACTAAAAGAGAGTGGATTTAGACTACATACAAGGAAGAAATTTTATACAAGGGAGGTGAAACATGGGAACAGGTTGCCCAGAGAGGTGGTAGATGCCCAATCCCTAGAAACATTCAAGGTGAGGCTGAACGGGACTCTGAGCAACCTGGTCTAGTTGAAGATGTCCCTGCTTATTGCAGGGGGGTTGGTCTAGATAACTTTTAAAGGTCCCTTCCGACCTAAACTATTCTGTGATTCTCTGAGTCTATGATTGGATATTATTATCTTAAAAGAAGAGAGCAATTACGGTGCTAAAACAGGGAAACAGTCTTTAGCTGTCACATCCCAAGTGGGATGGTCCTTGGGTTAATATTCAGTTAACTTCATCATGTCCAATACAAATATAAAACTTGTGGTACATGTAGGTTGAGTAGCTGTATTACATTCCTTGCTTTCTACAAAGTATTCCAGTTATGACTTGGAGACACTACACTTTTTTTCAGAGCCACAGTGGACTTAGGTTGCATGCAATTTTAGCACAAACTTAAGAGCTCTATATACCATATTTTACAGCAGCAGAAAATAACGTGGATGAGCCAAATCTTGAGAAAGTCCAGTCATTCAGCAGAGGAAGCTATCGGGCCAGTTTGCGGTGAGTCTTAAAAGTGATAAACCTCAATTATAAACCTCAATATGTTTCCAGATCTCTACACTTCTTTCCACTATTCTAAAATCCCATGGTGCTAATGAATCACTTCTCTGTATGTTCTGTAAAAAAGGGTGGAAGGACTGCAAGCATTTTAGTAAAACAAAGTTCACTTAGAAAGAAATAGCTTGGGTAACACATTACTGATTGAAGGCACATGGATAAATAGCAAGACTCAATTTTACTCCCCTTTCTGTCCGTAGTACTTTCTCTCCAGTTGTGGTCTACTGTGTTAATGATCCCTTTTTAATATTACTACCATACAGCCATATATTTATATTACCTAACGCACTTTCAGTGCAGTTACTTGAAAAATGACTTGCTGTGCAATTATTAGAGAAATCAATGCAACCTACAAGGACATCTTTATTATGGCTTTACTTGATGAAAGTTAAAGCATTTTACAAGCCAGAGTGTCTTGTAGTGAGACATTTCTTTCAGGCAGACCCATGTCAGACATATGTGAGTGAATAGGTCTCCCACATTACAGGGTTATGTTTTGTCAGGGAAAGAGGTCGATAGTTTTATCATCCTGTTTTGCTGGACTGAATTACTTGATAGTGCTAACAGTGAATTGACTTGATGTCTTAATGGCTTGTGCAAATATAGCAGGATACACCATAATTTTGGTTAATCAGTACAGGGTACAGGGCATATATATGGCAATGTCTGAGTAGGGGGAATATGATTTTGAAAAGTATTTGTACCCGTGTGGCATATTTTCTTCTCAAGAAGCTGAGAGAACATAGAGAAAGAAAGAAAAAGTCTATGGGGTTCCTATGATTTGCTTCAGTGAATCGTGATTTAGTTGATATGAAAACTGCCCCTGCTTTGCAAGAAAGTATTGTGTTATGGAGCTGTGAAGAACAGACCATTTCTGTTTTCTTTACAGAGCTTCACTTAGGCAACGCTCCAGATCTCAGCTCTCTAGTGTGGTGCCTGACCCTCCATTAGCCATTGCAAACGATCACGCAGAGTATATGAAACCTAGTCCTTATGAAGAAGGTGATGAACAAGCAAAAAAGGTCAGTTTATTAAATTTTAAACCAAACAGGTTGTATTACTTGGTAATGGTAACCTGTAGATATGTGCCTCTATTATAGGAGTTGTTGGCAGATAGTTTTCTTGGATTGGTCCTTTTCTCTGCTTAAACAAAACCACATCTTCAGTGCTTATCCTCTGTGTAAACCCTGGGCTGCATTTTGATGGCTGTTGTGCTTATTGGTCCATATACAATTTCTAGCAGATCACGACCGGTTTGTAAATTGATATATGTTGTAGATTAAGCTGAAAAAGACATATTCATAAAAGCTGAATTAACTGACAAAAGCAAAATGCTCAGCCTTCTAAATGTAATAGGCATGCAGTGATACAAATGACACCGCTTCTTGTTCGATAAAAAGTAAATTCACTTTAGTCTCAAAATCACCTGGAGGTTTGAGTAGAGACCTTCACTGCAACCTAACCCAGAGTTCTTTCACTGACAGTGTCCTTGTGCAATCAACTAGCCTAGAAAATAAAGACAGCATGCCTTAAAATTATGCAGAATATGTAGGAATATATACAGTGAATTTCCAAAGTGCTTGTACCAATTCGCATGGCTGCGGTTGTCCAGTGCAGAGTACAGCAATTCTTGCTATTGCTGAGCCTATTCTGTGGATAAATAGAGGGCTTTAGTGCTGTCACCCTGGCACTAGCTCAGAAGGAAGAGAAAATATAAGATGATTCCACCCATTCATCCTTGCACATTTCCAGCAGATAGGTCTTCACAGTGCCTATTTTGTCTGGGCATTTCCAGCCATATGAACTGAGGGAGATGAGCAGGGCTTAGCACACTTAGCCCTTAGCCGGCCTTTGTAATGCTTAGAGTGTTACAAAAATTCTGCACAAATCAAAGTGCAGGGTAAGTTATAATTTGATGTTGAATATTCTGTTCTTACTAGGAATAATTATGGGAATTCAGCCTATAGTCTGAGATTGTTTCACAGAAGGGAGGCAAATTAGCGTGTATAAAGCCTGAATCCAGCTATCGCTCTGAGATCTCCCTTTTAATTATACAGGGTACCTGTTAATTTGATGCAGAGTCTGTTCAGTGTGTTCACTTGCAATACTTTAAAATAATATTTAAGAGCATTCCATGAGTGACACCAAAAGCTCTTGTGAGGAAGAAGTTTTAAGTTTTGGCACTGGATATTGCATCACTCCTCATCTGAAGGCAGTGAAAACAGAACTGCCTGACTTTCAGTGGCAGAAAATCTGAAACTGGTCATCATTAACCTCAGTAGAGCTGCATAAGGCATGAATCTTTCCCTTTTTCTTCAGGGACAGTAAAGGTAGTCATTTATGTAGCCCTCTTGTGATTCCTTAGCCCTACAAAAGACTCCAGACAGCAGCCAAAACCCATCACTGCTCTTTCCCATACAAAGGAAGAGCAGCTGTTTGGGCACTAGATGGCCATTTAACAGATGATGCAAACTATTTCATTTGGGGACAAAGGGATACATTTGCTTCATAAATCCAACCTGTTTTTTTAGGAACTTGTTGATGTGGAGGAAGATGTCCAGCCTGTATCATTTACCAGAATTTTGAAATACAATACCTCTGAATGGCCATACATGGTATTTGGATCTCTGGCAGCAGCTATGAATGGAGCAGTCAATCCACTCTATGCTTTGTTATTCAGTCAGATTCTTGGGGTAAGTTACGCTAACATTGTAAAGTGTATTTTAGCTCTGAAGCAGAGAGGAGTGAATGTACGATGCAGAACTTGACAAGTTTTGGGCAAATCTTTATATCTCGTCAAGTAAATGGGGTTAGCCTTCTTGCCTATAAACAATTATTTAGTAGAGATATTTATATCACTGTCATCACACTATCGTTTGAGCTCTTTGAAGGGGTAGGCCCATTAGCATTTGTCATGTGTTCTTCATTATCTCTCTTATTCAGTTTCCAGGAAGTGCTGGGAGTGGGTTTCTGCACTCCCATACAGTTTATTTTAGATGTGACAAGATGTATCTCAGGTGCAGGTACAGTGGAGAGAGACACAAGCAGAGTCCTTCCCTGTGGAATTTCATTCTACAGGCTTGGCCAAGCCTTTGAGAAAGCTTTGGATCAGACCCAAAAAATACTTCACTTTTTTGTTCATATATTTCAGGCAGCTCTTTACTGCCTGGTGCCTGCAGAATGTCCAGGGAGAGGCAGATAATTTCATAGTTGCCAGAAAAAGGTACACTTGCATCAATAAGTGCATCTATCACAGGAAAGATTGAATTTTTGCTGTTTGGTTTTTTTTGGGAGATCGGGGGTGTTTTGGCTTAGACGTTTCTCTCTGGGATGTTACTGAGGACTTTGAGTCACGTTTACTCGCAGTTTGAAGTTTGCTAGCTAAGATTCAGGGAGGGCAGAGCAAAAGGCCTCCCGGTCCCAGTTGATCTGCTTAGTGGCTTCTAGCCAATGTGCTTTTAGCTGCAGGTGTGCCACCTCAAATACTTTTTGAGTGTCTGGACCTCATACCAAGGACTGTGGCTTTCAATAGAAGCAGGTGAGACACTGCTATGTGCATTCTGCAATGAATCTAACCTTTGATTCCTTTTGAGAGAGGTTTTCTAGACATTGGGAGGTCTGTGGCTGATGTCATTCTGCAAGATGCTAAATGCTTTCGTTGCCAAGGATGAATTCCTTCTCTTGAAGGTCTCAGTCCATCAAAAGACAGAGGCTGCAAGAAAAAAAACAAGTCATAATGAACATGAACAAAGTCCAACATCTGTGTTTCATTATTCATAAATTTAAAACATTTCTGGCTAGTGCCAAGGCAGTCAGGCAGATGGAATATGCATCTGCTTTCCAAGCTGTCTGGGGGGGGGGGTGTGTTTTGGCTTAGACGTTTCTCTCTGGGATGTTACTGAGGACTTTGAGTCACGTTTACTCGCAGTTTGAAGTTTGCTAGCTAAGATTCAGGGAGGGCAGAGCAAAAGGCCTCCCGGTCCCGGTTGATCTGCTTAGTGGCTTCTAGCCAATGTGCTTTTAGCTGCAGGTGTGCCACCTCAAATACTTTTTGAGTGTCTGGACCTCATACCAAGGACTGTGGCTTTCAATAGAAGCAGGTGAGACACTGCTATGTGCATTCTGCAATGAATCTAACCTTTGATTCCTTTTGAGAGAGGTTTTCTAGACATTGGGAGGTCTGTGGCTGATGTCATTCTGCAAGATGCTAAATGCTTTCGTTGCCAAGGATGAATTCCTTCTCTTGAAGGTCTCAGTCCATCAAAAGACAGAGGCTGCAAGAAAAAAAACAAGTCATAATGAACATGAACAAAGTCCAACATCTGTGTTTCATTATTCATAAATTTAAAACATTTCTGGCTAGTGCCAAGGCAGTCAGGCAGATGGAATATGCATCTGCTTTCCAAGCTGTCTGAATATCTGCAATGATGTTGTGACAGACACGTGGGCTTGTACTCTGGGACCAATACGTTGAGAAAGTGAGGGGAAAAATCCCCACAGCTTTGAAATGAAAGAATAAATTTAGCAAAATCTGCCTTGAAGGTTCACAGAAATTGATCCCCAAAAGTGAATTAGGAACTTGGTAATACTGAATATGTTTTCTGATCAGTGCGGAGCAGCAGTGTACCTTTGGAACACATTTCTCAGTACTTTTTTCCTATGATGCTTTGGTTCTTACTGTGGAACAGTCTCAGAGTATGGGAAATGGATCCTTTCCAGTGAAACTCAACTGAAAGATGTGCTCTGACTGCTATTGGGCATGTAGCCCATGGCCCCAGATAAAAGGTAGTCCATGCTAAAACCATTGACACTTGTATGATCTGAACATGGACACCTCAGCAACAGCTCTTTCCTTTTATAGACCTGGTGCTACTGTCCATGCTACATGTTACAGTACTCAGCATTATATTTTTTAAAACAAGAACACAGGTCAAAAATATAGCTGAGCATGTTAGGATAGCTGCAGAATGGGATAGTTCAATTTTACAGGACAGATTTGCAAAGGCAAAAAAAAGACCTCTGTTTGCAATACAGAGATGTCTTCCCCACACGTTATCCACATTTCCTTCTTTAGGACTATAAAGTGCTGTTGCTCTCAGTGTGAGGAGGAGCATAAGCACATAGTTCAGCCCATTGCTTTTCTTCAGCTGGGATACTTCCTTGAATTTAGAGCCTGCAATAGGAATCCCAGACTGACCGATAACTGGTTTCTCCAGAAACCCTCAAGTTGTCTTGCAGACATTGCAGATCCCTCAGTCTTTATCTAGGAGCAATGGAGAGAGAGCCTGGCCACAGGAACTGGGAAGGCCTTTCACAACATGCTTCTTGTGTAAGAGAAAACAGGGAAACCACTCTTTCCATGTGACCACTGTGATATGGATAAGATATTAAAGCGAAGGCTCACAGCATTCTCCCTTTTCTTGATTAAGCTTGCCTACCATCCATCCATACAGAAGCAATGAACAGAAGTTTATTTAAAACAACCATAGATGCCAACTGGAACTCACTGTAGGGTCCTACGGCAACTGTTTTACCTCTCTTTTCAAAGCTCAGACCTGTATTTGGTATTTATTTATTCAACTAGAAAGAAAAATTTCAAAGTGTGAAAAGAAAAAATGTTAAGTTCAGCCCATGTATGGGGCCATCCCAGTATTTCTGGATGACTGCAGAGACAGAATGCAAAATACTTACGAAATAGCCATCAGCATCTCTGGAGAGTCATGTTTTTCATCCCAGTTCACAGCCATTTATTATGATCTATCACACACTCTGTTTATCGTATTGTTTATTAGCTTTACTCATTAGAGTTCCTATTCATTTCAACAGAGATTTTACTGATGTTTTTTCATATGAAAAGGTTCCACAGCACTGTAGTTAATATGACATACATGTTAGCAAATGTTCACAATGTTAAATAGTAGTTATTCCCCCGGTTATGTTTTAGGCTAGCTGTGCATGTGGCATGACCACTACTATGAAATTCACTTTTCCATTCATGTCTAGATATTGCATACCATGATGATACAGAAAATATCATTCAAAAGGCAATTCAAAAACCCAGAATCCTTGATGAACATAGTTTATGCATGCACTGAATTCACCTTGTATCTCATTCACCCAAGTGTTTAACTAGACTATTTCTTACAGAAAAAAACACCCAACCGAACAAAACCCAGCAGTATCTTTTCTAGACACCTAAGTTACAAAGACAGATGAAATCTGCTCACAGTCTGCTCAATTCAGGATCAAGCATGAATTGCTGAATGTATAGTGGATTCCATTAAGGGAATAGGAACAGCATCAGACCGTTTTGTTGTTCTTATGAAAAATCACCAACTGTTTTTTAATCTGTCTTTTTTAAACAAAGATTAATCTGAGAAATAATATGGCTTGCTACTGACAAGACAGTATGGCATTGCAACAGTTCTTAGCTTGAAACACTAAGTGCCCTTTTGATATTATCATTTTGGATTTTGCAGGAGATTTTGTTTGTTGCCAAGGTACTGATGTACAAAGTTAAAATACTTGAAGTGGAATTCCCATTAGAGAACAGCTATTTCTTTTTCTCAAATTCATGCTCTAATTCTTCCCTGTTACTCTGATGCATAGCTCACTTGGAACCATAAATAACTTGGGTTGACCTTTTAAGACTAGCACTTAGGATATTTTTGTGGAATTTTTATATCTTGCAGCTGAAATGAAAATTCCATCTTTTTCTGCTGTTAAATACGTACCTAGAAGAATTTAAGCTAGTCCTGAGATAAGTAATAGTTGAATGCACGATTTATTTTAAATTACAGATAACAGTTTGAGAGATTAGTCAATTTATAGCAATTTTTACCTGTGAAATCCAATTGGAATTAATTTCAGGTTAGCAGAGAAGTACAAACACGAGTTGTGACTTACACCTGTGAGTAGCAGAAGTAGTTTAACAGCTCTGGGTATGCTGACTGACCTACAGATCAACTGCTCTGACTGAAAGGAGTTGCTCAAGGCTGGCTACTTAGATTTGAACCACTACTTCAGCAGCAGCCAGTAACGCTGGACGGTGTTGGAAAAGACCAGCTATTAAGAACCAGATATAAAAAGAAAATACTGTGGAGACTGGAGCAGAATGGGATGGAGGGGCTTTTATTTACGCAGACTCCATTTAGTGTGGCCCAATAAAGTTGTAAATGTCACAGATTAGAGAGGAGGTAGGGGAGCTTCTGCGCTGTTGCTTTATTGCTATGCCGTTTATTTCATTGCTATTCTCTGGTTATCACACTGAATCTTGTTTAGAGCTGAGGGATGATTAATTATAACTAGGAATGTGCAACAAGTGATAGTAGTTATTTGCGGACACTAAGTATAATAAAATTGTTTAACAGAAGTAAAAAGCATTACGTTGTACCCAGGTTCACCTTAGGAAAAATAAGGAATTGGGTTCTGGTGTTGATTCCAGGGTGGGCTTCTGTGCTTGAAAACAGGGAGTCATGAATAAACTCACAGCAAAACTGACACTTCTAATACAATGCCACCTTCTTTTTTTTTTCTTCAAAGACCTTCTCCATTCTTGATAAACAAGAACAAACAACCCAGATCAATGGTGTCTGCGTGCTTTTTGTCATGATTGGAATTCTTTCATTTTTCACACAGTTTCTACAGGTAATAGCAGTCAAATCCGGGTAAATTTTCTTTCTGATCCCTTACTCAGTGGGTACCTCTTGATGCACAATATCTGTGTTTATTCTTATGCACCCCAGGGATACACCTTTGCCAAGTCTGGTGAGCTGCTTACACGACGGTTAAGGAAAATTGGTTTCCAGGCTATGCTGGGCCAAGACATCGGTTGGTTTGATGACCGGAAGAACAGCCCAGGTGCTTTGACTACGAGACTTGCAACAGATGCCTCGCAGGTCCAAGGGGTAAGAGCTGAGAGTTTAAGAATTGTTTTGCTATAAGCGTGACTGAAGGCCTGTTTTAGCACATTGTCACAGAGCAACTAGCGAGGTCAGTGTAGATCAGTCTTTGCTCAGCAAATTAAGCTATTTCTATTTGTCAGAGGCTGTCAACGAGGAACTGTTATCACTGTATTTATTTAAAAGCACTAATAGGGTGACAATTTACTGCCCATTACTTCTGCTTGTATTACCAGAACAAGAACATAAAACTCAATAAAATAACAACCATAAATGGAATCAGGAGCATCAAGTGCAAAAGTTTTAATTTATTTTTTCTGGAGATGAATTAAATTTTGCCATGATGCTTAAGCGTTTATTTCAAAACCGTGTCAGACTAGTATGTTAGTGACATTCACCACTAATCATGTTTTCAAGTTTTCAGCATGGTATTGTGCTTGTTGTGACAGTTTTGATTTAAACTGACAGTCTACTTGAAAACACAGCTTACAGTACTGGCTGGTGCTCGTTTTGTGCTGCAAGTTCACATCCTGGAAATGAATTTGACTGGAAATGATCAAAGATATCAAATATATATTTATTTTTTTTCAAATACATTGCAACTTAGTTCCAATCTAGGGCTGCTGTTTACTGCTATGAAGCAGAATAACTTTTGAGTATTACAAAGAATAGCGTTCTCAAAGTACATAAGGAGCAGATGAATGCATTCAATGAAGGTGATGTCAAAGGCGTATTTAAAACTTTTCTTTAATAAAGAGACAGGCAGAAATGCAGCTTTAATTCATCCCTTCTCAGTGACGTTTCTTACTGACTTTAGCACAGTTGAGACTTTGTTGTTAATAGTTAAGTTGCAAACAGGTTTTGTTACTATTTAAATCTAGAGGGATAAATGTAGGGGCTAAACAGAATATTCAGATGAGTGATTCTCGAGGGAAACAAGGGAACTGATTTCAATTTCTCACAATCCTTAGAAACAATTTTCTAAAAGGAATATTGGAGATTTGTAGTCCTTCTCTTGATACAGTTAATTGGAAAGAGTTTATCCAAACTGGCTAAATTGCAGTGCAGTCAGCAGCTGTTGGTGCCTTATAATATTTAGATATCATTTAGAGTTTTCTAAAGTTTTATAGGAAAATTTATTCAAAGATTATTGAAGTTACAATTGGTGTACAAGTCAATCATCTCTGTTTCTTTTCTTTGAAGGCAACTGGATCGCAGATAGGAATGATTGTCAATTCCTTTACCAACATCGGGGTGGCCATGATCATTGCTTTCTACTTCAGCTGGAAACTGAGCTTGGTTATACTGTGTTTCCTGCCATTTTTGGCCTTATCTGGAGCCGTGCAGGCTAAAATGTTGACAGGATTTGCCTCTCAGGACAAGAAAGCGCTGGAAGCTACTGGACGGGTAACTTTATTTTAAAAATATTTTTTATATTTAGTCACGGGTAGTTGAAAAATCAGGCATTTGGGACCATCAGTAATTCAAATGTAAAGAAACCGGTGACTTCTGCAAATAAGTTGTAATATTTCAGCTTGTCAAACCATTGAAACACCACTGGGAACTCCCTAACTGCCAAAGCACCTGCTGCATGGAACGTGACTGACTTTTGAAATGCTGTAGGGCCTAATGGGTAGACCCAGATCTCTCGGCAGTCTGTTCCACCTTCGTCCTGTTTTATTTAAAGCCCCATTTGTTCATGCCCTGTGATTATCCAGAAAGCAATACTTAGAAATCCTCACATCTGAGAATTCAGCACTGAACCACAGATCAGTATCTGAATTTTAGAGAGCAGAATTGTTCCTTCAGTGGGCCCTACCAGCTTACCAGCTTCTTCATTGGTGTGTGCTGCTAGGTCACAAGCCCGGGGACAAAATTCTATCAATTCTTATTTCTCAGCTAATATACAAATCTTTTTAAAATTTTTTAAATTCAGGGAAGCACCAACCCTTTTTCTGTTAATTTGTAACAGGAGACATAACACTTTCTCATAATACTTTAAATTTTGCTTCATGGGGAAAGCATACCTGAGTGGGTATTAAGCATCAGAAAAAGTATGCTTTGCAGGCCCTCCAGAAGCCTCGGAGAGTTTCCTTTCTGGGTGTAATTTAAAGAAGCATGTCATGACTGTGGGCAAAGAACTTCAGGACATCATGTTGACTACCTAGACATGCAGACTTCTGGAATATTATTTTTTTTTAAATGCACAACAGTTATTATGTGAATTAATATCACTTGGCTTTTGCATCGCTAATCAAATGAATGCATTTACGAGCCATTGCTGAGTGCTGCTAAGAACAGTCTCCAATTCCAGAAAGCCAAGGAAAAATTGAGACCTGACCAATTGCCCACATTCAGATGGTTTAATAATTTACAAAAAGTGATAAATCAAAATACCGTGTTGACGAGAAGAGAAACTTCACTAATGAGTCAAAGCATCAGCTTTTACTCAACAGAATGACCCAGAGTCTGGGATGAAAAGGGCACTCAATGCTTCAGCAGTTTTGGTGATGACTGATTATGTCTGGTGTTAGCTTCTAATTTATTTGCCAGCGCTGCATCCAAATGCTAAACACTCTGAGTTCTTCCATAGTGATTGCTCATCAGCCGTGCTAAACATGGAAAAACAGTCTGAACAATCCCATTCACAGTACCTGCTTATCCCCTCCTTCGCGTTGGATGATAATGCAAGAGACGTGACTCTGAATTTTGGACAGGAGAAAAACCTTGAAATTGGATGGAATATTTTTAATTATTTTTAAAAATTTGTTTTAATGATTTATATTCAGATCTCTTCCTACTCATAAGCTGTACACCAGACTATTGCTTCCCAAAGGAAATGCTTCACATTATGAAGCTACTATCAAAGTCCAGGCAAAGCACACCGTTTTAAACCAGTTTGTTAACAGAGTGACTCGAGATAAGAAGGGTGAAATTAGGATCAAACAAAATGTCAACTTACTTCTATAGATGAAATTGGAGTGCTATTTTTTTGGGACAGAAACCCAAATTCTGACTGGGAACAAAACACAATATAAAGCCTACAATTAATTAAGGCTCCAGAGAAGTTTTCATGGGGCTTATCTTATAATTCCTTGTTTTGCATTTTTTCATTCAGGCAAGTGTTTGCTTAGTCTTTGCCCATGTACAAGATAAAAATCCTGGAAATTGTGTCATTGATGTTAGAGGAATCGAGGTGCCATCCTCCATTTATATATTCCATCTCATCAGGCTTTTTGGAGATAAACAAGAGAAAGAGGGAGGGTGAGCAGGTGAGGAAACACTAAATTCAAGTGGTTTTAAGTTATGAAACAGAAGTGGAGGATAGCATCTCTTCTAACTCTTTCTCTGACTATTGCTATTAGTAAAACAAGTAAAATAATTTAAGTAAACATCTTTAGTCAATAAATGCATGCAATCAAGGAAATAACAGTGGTCCTAAACCCATTTTTGCTTTTGTGGGTGTCCCATTGAGTCACATGACATGCAGTAAGGCACAAGTGAGAGCACTTTGTGACAGTCACAGGTGAGTGCCCAATTTCCTAAGTGTGCTTAGCTCTAGCGGAGCTGACAGAGCATTACTCTTGAGGATGTTAGGAGATAACTGCTTGTAGGAAAGCTGCTCTTTAGGTTGGCTGATATTTGGGCCAGTCTGTATCGTACCTGAATCAATTTATAATATGGCATTAGTGCCCTGTGTTCACACATTCGTGAAAGAGCAAACTCTACTTTTCCAAGTAAAAATGTGGAGCTTTTACCTATGTATTTTTTTCTCCTCCAGATTGCCAGTGAAGCCCTCTCTAACATCAGGACTGTAGCTGGGATAGGAAAAGAGAAAACGTTTGTGGACAATTTTGAGAAGCACCTGGATATGCCTTACAAAGCTGCAATCAAAAAAGCCCATGTTTATGGCATCTGCTTCGGCTTTGCCCAGAGCATAGTGTTCATTGCCAACGCCGTCTCCTACAGATACGGAGGGTTTCTAGTTGAGAATGAAGGGCTCCATTACAGCTTCGTGTTCAGGTGAGAGCCTGCCCGGAGCCACAAACGGGCTCCTCTCCAGAAGCGCTGGGCTGGGGGTCACAGTGGGTTTCCCGATTGCTTCCTGAGAATGACCGTGTCCCCCTTCCCCACAGGGTCATCTCTGCTATTGTCACCAGCGGAACTGCTTTGGGAAGAGCTTCTTCCTATACCCCAAACTATGCCAAAGCCAAAACATCTGCTGCACGCTTCTTTCAATTGGTCGATCGGATTCCGAAAATCAGCGTTTACAGTGAAAAAGGAGAAAAATGGGTAAGAGCGGAGCTGAGTAATTTGTGATGTCATTCAGGTCAATGTTAGCATTGAGGCTGCACTAACGATGTGTAAGTCAATGAGATCCCTGCTTTACAGGAAGGTTATGCCCACTGTGTAATTTTACTTGACTTTGCTCCTTTGGAAGCAGCGAGCTCTGTGCTTGACAGCAAGAGTAATAGAAAGGGTGGCTTTTAGGATTGTGTCGGTGCAAAGCTCCTGTGAATTGGAATAGGGCCAATTGAGCTGACTCACAGAAGAGCAGGGTATTTCTTTCTGCTCTACAGTTCGCACATAAACCTGACTATTGCTGCCTTATAATGGAGCCTTGTTTCCCTTCCCATCAAAATGCCGGGGGTGTTCATGAGGAGGCGAATCATCTTTGAGTCAGAAAAAATGAAAATGCTCAATTTTTGGTGAATTGAAAAGTCAGATCCAGAAAATTCAAATAGTTTTTTTTCAGAATTAAACAAAAACTTGAAATAATTGTTATGAACTAAACACATTACATATTCTGCTTCAAATGATGAAAATTAACTATCTTGATACCCCTCAGAGTTTTGTAAAAGACTTTTAAGAGTTCTGGGAAAATTGACCTGAATTCATGTATTGTTTTAATGCTGCAAAGCTAGGTTGATTTTATTTTTTTTACCAAATGCAGTTTTTTACACAAATCTATTTGGACTGTCATCAAATTTACACTTACAGAGTGTCTGAATTAAAATAAAACCCTTACCCATTTGCAAGGCACTCCTGTTTCCAATGGATGTCTGTGAGCATTGCAGCACAGGGAACTATAAGCAGAGCAATAGCCTTATGACTAATGGCTCCATCTCCAGGAGAGCTACTCCAGTATGGTTTTTATCCCTCTTCCTGGGCCAATTTCACAAGCACTAATGTCACGTTTTAAATAAGAGATGTAAGAATAGGGTCTGAGAAAGAGTTACTTTGTCCTTTACGACTCAGTTTTGAGCTCCAGCTCATTGTAGCATCTTTTTTTTTATTTTTTCACCAGGATGATTTCAAGGGAAGCATTGAATTTCATGACTGCAAATTCACGTACCCTTCTCGGCCTGATATTCAGGTCCTGAAAGGACTCACTGTAGCTGTTAAGCCCGGACAGACTTTGGCATTTGTTGGAAGTAGTGGCTGTGGTAAGAGCACCAGTGTCCAGCTTCTGGAGCGTTTCTATGACCCCGACACAGGAAGTGTGGTAAGCAAAGGGAACGTGGTGTGTGTGTGGTTGTTGTCAGCAACACTACAAGGACTCTTCTCGGGGTGGCCCGCTGGGTAGCCTAAAGTGGTGGCATGTACATTTGCAGCTTGGGGCTTCAGCTCCTTCTTGAGTGGATGTGGGCTGTTCTGACAATTCCTGACTATCATCTCAGGTGTATTCAGGCAAGATGAGAATATTACAAGCCTCAGTTTTAATGTAGGTCATATGCATTTACCTTGGTAGCTCCCGTATGAAACATACAATGTGGGGTGTACGTTGTGGGAGCACAAGCACAACTCAAGCCTAACAGTCTTCTTTGCAGGTTGGATTTGTCTAGATTTAACTTGCAGTTATTCAATTGCTGATAATGTAAAAAGCTTTTATATCATTTGCTCATGTAAATACTAAACCATCTAGTTTGATTTTTCTTTCTTTGGAAGAAATAAGTGTGGTGATCACTATGCCAGGAAGGCCACAAAGCATGTGCCTAACTTTAAGCAAATATATAAATCAGTTGGGTTTAAGATTAAGTAAACGGTCTAGTGTTTGGCTGGAGCACAGACATATCCAGAAAATACACATCATTGCACAAAGGAGTCAAAAATAAGCAGATGCCTCAAATGACTTTAAATCAGTTGTGTTTGCATTTCAGTAATATGGATAAATCATTTAGTTTTGCTATAAACTATTTGGGTTTTGCAGGATGTTGCTTTGAAATGATGTTTCAAGTTCTCTCCTATTTCCTGGTAGTTAATAGATGGACACGACACCACGAAAATAAATGTACAGTTCCTTAGATCAAAAATTGGAATAGTGTCCCAGGAGCCTGTGCTGTTTGACTGCAGCATTGCTGAGAATATTAAATACGGCAGTAACAGCAAAGAGGTTTCGATGGAGAAGGTGATAGAAGCGGCGCGGAAGGCTCAGCTGCACGATTTTGTCATGTCCCTGCCTGAGGTGAGTACCCGCCAGGCCGGGGCTGGGGACTGCAATGGGCTGCTCCCTGTTCCTGCAGCACCAGCTGCTCCAAACCCGGCGCATGTGTACCTTTTATTTACTTCAACTGCTGTAACAGAGGGTGTCCTGACCATGCCTCATATATTATTTGTATAAATATTTATAAAACTGAAACCAGCAGCTACAACTCTAGGAGAACAGGAAAGATTTTTCAAAGCCATTGACAGGACGTGCTGCAGAAGCAGCACAGTTCAGCAGTCAAACATTACACTCTGCCAGGAAATACAAATCCCATTCCCAGCTGTGGGAGATCTGCCTTGTGACTGGGGCGTGGTACTTAGACAAAAATACTTGAAGCTGGCTGCTTACATGCACTTAAAAAGTATTTAAATGCACTGAAATCACATAAATATAAAGCAGAACATAAGAGGTATGAATACAGATTAGTCACCCAAACAAAGCACTTGTCCAGAAAGCCCTTAAGTCACTTTTAGCCTTTTCTCCCAAATTGGGGCGGGAGGGGGGGATTTTTTTTGCCTCAGACAAATCAGCCACCATCTTGCTATCAATTTTTAATTCTAGGCCCATCACTGTAGTGCCTGGGCTTCTGGGCCATACGCAGTGCAGAGGATGGCTGGGAACCGGCTCCCCAGACACCTACCACTCATACAGCATTTGCCCATTGCCGGGTTTCTTTTAAGAAGGAGGCACCAATGATCAGGGCTCCTGCCCCTCTCCTCCTTCAGGAGCGTACTGCTGGGTTTGCTTACACCTGAGTAACGTCTTCCTTTTGTATCTTTTTCAGCAATATGAAACTAATGTTGGGGCTCAAGGATCCCAGCTGTCTCGTGGGCAAAAACAACGCATTGCTATAGCGAGGGCCATCATACGAGATCCTAAAATTTTATTACTGGATGAAGCTACATCTGCCTTAGACACAGAAAGTGAAAAGGTAAATGCGCCGCGATAAGCAATAAGGGAAAGTTAATACAATGGCTTACAACGTACAGCGCCTTTCTCTGTTCTACAGAGACATCCCAGTGTACTCCACTAACTACATGACTATTTCCCATTGTTAATTCAGCACTTATACCTTTAACCATCTTTTCAAAAGATGCAGAAAGCAGAGCTGGAAAAACAGCAGCAGCTACAGGGGCTCTCAGACTGCCAGTGAGAGGCGGCACTTTCTCAGAAATGTGCATACAGTAGCAATGATTCAGAAATACAGCTTCTGCACATAACAAAAAAAAATAATATAAAATGCATTCAAAAAAACCAAACGTATTCAAGCATATGAATGATGAGCTCAAATATCCAATAGAAACAGCAGTGAGTGGCCTAAGAACTGGGCAATAATTTGCATGGCTTGGTTACACACAGAGATTAGAGAAATGGTGAAAATTTAAAAACATCTCCCCGCTGAGCTGACATTCAGCACGTCAGCTGAATAAAGGCCTGCCTTAATCTCTACTGCTGTCTGTGCTTACCTGTCCCTGCTTTGAACTGCTTAGAAACTGAGTTCCTGACCCAGCTAAGCACACATGAGGCTCCACTTTAACCTCAGGCACTTGTACAAGTTGCGCAATACGGTTAATTAATCTGAAGCAATCAGAATTCTCCAGCTCTGAGCCCTAATTTCGTTTGCCCATTTTTAATCTGACACTCTGTGTGTTCCCTTCAGACTGTGCAGGCGGCGCTGGATCAGGCCAGGGAAGGACGGACCTGCATCGTCATTGCCCACCGCTTGTCCACGATCCAGAACGCCGACATCATCGCGGTGATGTCACAGGGACTCGTCATTGAGAGGGGCACGCACGATGAACTGATGGCCCTGGAAGGAGCTTATTACAAGCTCGTTACCACTGGAGCCCCGATTAGCTGAATTACTGTGATTCTAAATCTGAAAGGTATTTTTTTCTGTAACAAATACTCTGCAGTAGGTTTGTGTATGTTGGTGCCCCGTTGTGCTACAAAGTGCCCCACGATATTGTGAGTTCTGAGGTGCCCTAAATGTATGTAGCTTTCTGCATCAAGCACAGTTGTCAGGCACGTGCAGGGGACTAAGCATAGGCTAAAGCATTCAGGAAGTAGCTCAGCCCACTGCTAAGGGAAAGAATGCCTGAAAACGGGAAAGATCTTTGCTGGTGAGCTGGGGAATTGCCACCACCTGCAGTCAGACTGCACAGTCCTGTGATTCCTCAATTAGCAATCAAGAAAGACTCCGCTCCAGCGTTCTGGAAACTGCCACTTGTCTAGGTAAGCTCTATGAATAAAAAACAATCCCAAGGATGATGCTGTATAGCTGAAAGGATCAAATCTCTCCTTGCGTTGGGTCTGCAGAGGATTACAGCAGACACCTTTCCTGTGGGTCCACACCCTCCCACCCCTCCACAGCATCCACATCAGCTCTGCTGTCAGAGGAGGCTGGATTTCCACCCTGTGCACCAACTCGTGCAGGGCGCTGCCCCTTTAACGCCATCACATACTTACAAAGAAGGCAGCTCCACAAAAGTAAGGAAGGCAACCAAGAGGAGAACAGAAGCTGGTAAGGGTCATTCCTCCTTTTGAATAGGAATAAATTGTTTAGTTAAATCAATGCAAAATTCTACGGTTAATCATTACAGTTATTACTTGAGGCAGTGATGGATAATGTGTTATTTTTTTCAGAAGGCAAGACAATGAGTATTTTTACAGAAACCGTCAATATATGCCGTAAAGGTGGAAAAAAATACCTATAATTAGCTGTTTGTATTAAGCAAAGGTGATAAATCGAGCAACAATTCATTCAGAAATGACAAAGATCAGGAATTATGTTCTTCTGGCAGAAGTTTGTAACAGTTTACGGCCTACTGCATGTTTCTCTATTGACATACCTATATGATATTTAATTTATATTAGTATTTAAGGTCATAGAAAAATAACTGTTCTTTATTAAAAACTACAATTACTACATGTACTTTTTCCATGATTCTTTTGCCTAAAGGACACCACTTTCGTGGCTAAAATTATAAGAATAAATTGTATTTTTTACCAGCTCTTGTGCTTTTGAACTTCATCTCTTACCCTTCAGACAAGCAGATGAGTATCTTGCAGCAGGTAACAAGTATTTGCGTGTATTTAGGTGCTGCCTGTAACAAGGGGCTGCTGTGCAGGACGGAGCTGTTAAGAAGGTGAATGCAACTACACTGGCACCTGCTAAAGCCTGACTAAGGGACATACAGGTCTATTTCACTGTATCAACTAAATGTCTGGCTCTTGATTTACAATTCTAAATCTAGCAAAATACCAAGATTTTATCTAGGCACTTGTTTATCCCACCACTCTGGAAAAGGCTAACTCCATTTCAAGTTTTGGGAGCCCTCTTTGGAGGTTCTTCAGGCAGTTGCACAAGACTCTATAGCCCAACACACTCAGCTGCTCAGAAAGTGTCTTATTCTACTGCCATTACTTCATCAACAGGTTAAATTGTGAAGCTACTGGCAAAATTAAACTAGCTTAATTTATGCAGTTTTCCCACCATTCTTGGTTTTAGCGGTGTTTCAATAGTTGCAGGAAGAGTAAGAGGTGGTTCAGCCAGGAAGCTGGTCATTATCCCTTTCCCTGAAGCACTGAAGTTGCAGGCTTAATTAATAGGATGCTCCAAGAAACTGAGTGGAAGCCCATGTCTTCCTATGTGTCCGTACTTAGAAGAACACTGCAGAAGTGCAAGTTCTCATTCTACATTAATGGTGTGTCTATCCCAACAGAGACACCAAGATTCTGTCAGTACCAGGAAGCACAGACCCTCATGTGGTAGGAGCTTAGAAACGTGATGCCTGCCCCTAAGTCCCAGCTTAGAAGAGCCAGCGTTGCCAGTAGGCCCAAACGCTGCTGCAAGAGCACAAAGGATCTCCTGCTATTGGCCAGGAGGAGTGAGGAACAGGACAGCGAGACCAACCTTCTAGCCTTTCGTGATGCCTCCATAGGTCACCTCACTGGCAGGGAATAACAAAGCACAGAGCATCTTGAACACAGGAGAAATCTTTGTCATAGCTGCCTTTGCTCTTCATTATTTGTTTCTAGTCCCATTAGCTTAGTCATTTTGCTTAAGGAGTCAAAATTATTGAAAAGACTGGTTTCAGGCCAGCTGCTGCAGGAAAAAGAGTTCAGAGAATCATTACAGAAGATATCAGGAGATGCATAAAGCAGAATACTCCTCAGACTTTTAAAAACAGATTCATAATTTTTGTAAGTCAGTCAATGCAGTCTTTATGAGGCTCTTAAATAACAATGTCTGTTTCAGATTTGCTTCTGCAATTTCTATCGTGTTCATTCCCAAGGGCCAACTCAAACTATTCACGTTGTTTTCCCAATTAAATAAAACTCTTTCCATTTCAGTTATCTTACAGCTAATTTTAAGTCTAGAAGCAATACAGTATTGCTATCAGATCATATTGACACAGCCCTCATTACCCGTATTAGCTTTATGCTGCTTGTACACTAAGCATTAGGAGATGGTAGCAGCAAAATATTGCTTAAAGATTGTGCACCAAAAGGCAATATGCAACAGTAAGTGCTAAATAATGAAAAAAGGAAAGTTCCTTCCTTTGCCTATTTAGAGCACCCTTTTTATATTAAAAAAATATGTATTTGACGTATTAGTTACTTGTGCACTTAGGTAAACCAAGCTGAAAAGAATATAACTTGCAATAACTTAGTCTGCAATTATCTCTTCATTATTTACACAACTACTAACAGTGATTCTGGCTTCTGACTCTTGATACGAGAGACAGACTACTTTGCTTTTGCAATGCAGGAACATGAACAATACGCTGAGATAATTTCATTATTGACAACTTTCATTTGTTGCTCTGTACAGAACCCCAAGATTTGTTAGACCATATTTATGCATTTTCAGTATCAAAGGTGTAATCTGTAACATTCATTATTTATGTGACCACTTTCAAGAAGTAAAAATGACAAAAATGACACAGTAATGCAAAAATACATTCTACAGAGTCTAATTGAAATACACTTTTATTTTCTTCTCATCTGGCTTAATCAAAAGCTGTTTTGCTCAGGAAGCTCAATAAGTTAAATCTGAAGCCTTATTCATTACTATGCTGGCCTTTTCCACAGTGCCTGGTACAGGTGGTGTGATACTGTCACACCATTATCTAGCAGTTTAACACACACATATAAAAAACCTGAATATTGAGTATTACTATATACAACCGAGGCTCGAAGCACCATCTAGTTGGAGATGGACAGAACTAAAAGACCACCAAGTAGCTAAACAAAACTAGTTGATTATACTTTAAAAGTCTGTTATGACCCAGGGTATTGGGTCCTATATAACCACACTGCAGTGTCCCTCATTGCAGTATTTCTATGAAAAAAAATCAGCAATTAATATGTCTGAGCTGCCAAAGTCATTCTTGAATGTACTGGTTACTTACCAGGAGCACATCAAAGATGCAGTGGCATCCCCCTTGCTTAAAATGAGTTAGCAAAACTGCCTGTGTGGAGGGTTCTCGAACAGTTCATATCCATCCCCACATTGCTACCCACTCGGAAACTTTATCTAATTAAGTTTCTTTTCAGTTGTCCTCATTAACGAGTGGACACAGTACGGAACCAAGGCAACTACAGTCAGAGGCATAGCTGCACTCTTACAAAAAGAGAGAAAGTAGAACAAATACTCAGTATGAGTAGGGATCTTAACAAAATTATACAGCTGCAGCATGGCTAACGAAGCAGCTATACACAATACGCGGAAACTTATCTTACAGCTATTTTTACCTTTGCAGCTCATAATGAACATTTCAGAATTAATTCCGAGCCCTAAGCCAAAGAGCGCACCTAAATTCCTCACCAGTCCAGCAAACG